AGCATATCAACTGTTCTTTAATTAGGACAATTCTCTTCCTCCTGATGATCTAAGAAATACATGCTCACTGAAGAAAATCTAGAAAGTTAAATAAAAGTGTAGGGACACCCAGTGAAAATGGTGGCATAGGTAAACACAGCTCACCTCCTCACACAACCACATCAAAATTACAACTGAAGAACAACCATCACTCAGAACCATCAGAAATCAAGTTGAATGGAAGTCTGACAACTGCAGAATTAAAGAAATCACATCCATCCAGACTGATAGGAGGGGCAGAGATGTGGAACAGGCTGGGCCCAAATCCATGTGTGGTGGATAAAATACAGGAGGAATCTCTCAGTACAGAGGAGTCTCAGGCTCACACCAGGTACCCCATAACTTCTAGCTGCAAAAACCAGCACGGACTGAATCAGTAGGAAAAACTCCTGAAGTCCCAGGCAGTTCTTCTTAACCCCCACACACACTTACAGACTCACTCCCACTGGGCTCAAGCACTGCAGTAGCAGCTTGCAAGGCAGCAGTGGCATACATCGAGGAACTGAAGGGTCTGACATCCAGGTGAGAACTGGGGGACAGCTTTCTCCCCTCCTAGACAGAGAGGTGACAGAGACCATTGCCCCTTTTCTGAACCCTCCTCCCAAAGACCCACAGAACCAGAAGGCAGGTGCCACATCAAAGACTCCATCAACCTCACTAACACTGTTTGCCCTGCCTTGGACATCCCCCGAGACTCTGTCCCACCCAACGTGCAGGCCCACCCGAACTGTAACATGACTCTTCCATATGAATGGCCAGTCTTGGCCATTCATGCTTCACAATTTCCTAAGTCCTCTCAAACAAGAAACAGCCAGCCTCAGTGAGCCCCCAACCCCAGTAGCTCTTACTAAGTGGCCCCAGGACAATCTAGATTCACAGCTTGGCTTTACCTGGGAATTTTCAAGTCCAGCAAAAGTAGCAGCCACCTCGGATTACTTTATAGCTCATGCAGGCTGGCCCCAAGCAAAACACAGGTGAGGACTGACCTTGGCAGCACTATCCTGGAAACTGCAAACTCTGTGCAACCAGTGTACAGCTACAGACCATGTCAGAGCACCACCATGCTGCCCCTGCACAGCTGATCCTCCATAAAGGGTGGAGGTTGGCAGTTAGTGGTCATAGCCAGTCCTTGAAGCTGACTGGTCTGGGCAAATCCCTCCCATTGACCTGCCAATAGCAATCAAGGCTCAACTATAAGAGGGTGTCCTCAGTTCACACAAAGCACCTCGAGTGCCCAGCTTGGGTGATAGGTGAGACTGTGCCATTGGACCCTACAGGACACCTGCTACATTAGGCCACACTACCAGGACAGGAGTCATAGCAGCTCTACCTAGTGCATAGAAACAAACACAGGGAGGCTGTCAAAATGAGGACACAAAGAAACATAGTCCAACAAAAGAATGGATCAAAACTCCAGAAAAAGAGCTAAATGAAATGGAGATAAGCAATTTATCAGATGCAGAGTTCACAACATTGGTCATAAGGAACTTAGTGTGGACCTCAATAGCATAAAAAATATTCTGTCATAAACGAAAGATACACTAACTGAAATAAAGAGCAATTTAAAGGGAAACAACAGTAGAGTGGATGCAGCCAAAAATCAAATCAATAATGTGGAACATAAAGAAGCAAAAAAACAACCAATAAGAGCAAAAAAAGAAGAAAGCAAAATAAGAAGAAAAAAGAATCCAAAAAAGAGAGAATAGAGTAAGCAGTCTCCATGACAACTTCAAGCAATCCAACACTCACATCATAAGGGTGACATAAGGAAAAAGAGGAAGAAGTTGGAAATCTATTTGAAAAAATAGTGAAAGAAAACTTCCCAAATTTGGTGAAGTAAGACATGCAAGTCCATGAAGCACAGAGTCCCAAACAAGATAGATGTAAAGGGGCCCACTGGAAGACACATCATACTTAAAATGCCAAAGGTTAAAGATAAAGAGAAAATCTTAAAAGCAGCAAGACAAAAGAAGTTAGTTATCTACAGGGAGTTCCAATAAGACTATCAGCTGATTTCTCAAAAGAAACTTTGTAGGCTAGAAGGGACTGGAAAGAAATATTCAAAGTCATGAAAAGCAGGGACCTATATCCAAGATTACTTTACCCAGCAAAGCTATCATTTAGAATGGAAGGGCTGATAAAGTGCTTCCCAGACAAGACAAAGCTAAAGGAGTTCACCACCACTAAGCCATTATTATAGGAAATGTAAATAAACTTATTAAAGAAAAAGATCAAAACCATGAACATTTTAAAAAGGCAACAAATTCACAACTATTAACAACTGAATCTAAAACAAACAAACAAACAAATTAAGCAAACAACCAGAACAGGAATAGATCATATATATGGAGACCACTTGGAGGGTTATCAGCTGGGTAGGGGAAGAGGAAGAATGGATAAATGATGCAGGAATTAAGAAGCATGACTGAAAAAAAAAAAAAGAAGCATAACTGGTAGGAATAAATAGAGGGAAGTTAAAAATAGTGTAGGAAATGGAGAAGCCAAAGAATTTACATGCACAACCTACAGACATGAACTAAGGAGGGTAACTGCTAGAGAGAAGGGGGATACCGGGTGGACAGGAGCAAAGGTGGAAAAATTAGCACAACTGTTAACAGTATAATCAATAAAATATTTTTTTAAAAAAGAAGAACAAGCTCTGGCTGGTGCAGTTCAATGGACTGAGCCCCAGCCTGCGAACCAAAGGGTTGCTGGCACAAGCTTGGGTTGCGGGCCAGGTCCCCAGTAGGGGGTGCACAAGAAGCAATCACACATTGATGTTTCTCTCCCTCTCTTCTAACCTCCTTTCCCCTCTCTCTAAAAATAAAGAAAGAACAAAAGAAAGAAAGAAACAGAGACAGAATCATGGATATGTAGGGCGTTTTGATAGTTGCCAGATGGGAAGGGGTGTGGGGAATGGGTGAAGAGATGAGGGGATTAAAAAGCACAAATTGGTAGTTACAGAACAGCCATGGGGATGTAAAGTACAGTATAGGAAATGGAGTAGCCAAAGAATTACTATACCCGACTCATGGACATGAACAATGGTGTTGGATTGCCTGAGGGAGTGGGGGGGCACTGGGTGGAGGAGGGCAAAGGGGGAAAAACTGAGATAAGTGTAATAGCATAATCCAAAAAATATAATAAATAAATAAATAAATAAATATGTAGGCAAAAGGAGGAAAAATGATTCAGTCACCCAAAAGCTTTCAAAGTTACATTTTTCTTTTTCAAATCCTCACCCGAGAATATATTTATTGACTTGAGAGAGAAAGGAAGGGAAAGACACAGAGAAACATCAGTTGTCTTCCATATGCACCCCAACCAGGGATCAAACCTATAACCTGGGCATCTGCCCTAATCAGGAATTAAACCTGTAGTGTTTCAGTGTATGGGCTGATGCTCCAACCAACTTCCTCACCCAGCCAGGGCATCAATGTTTCATCTTTTAATTTATGTTTTCATTACATAGTTATGTATATTTTGCCTACTATAAAAAAGGAGAGCTCAACTTGAAAATACTTTTTAAGCCCTGGCTGGTGTGGCTCAATGGATTGAGCGGCGGCCTGCAAACCAAAAGGTCACCAATTCAATTCCTAGTCAGGCTACATGCCTGAGTTGAGGGCCAGGTCCCCAGTTAGGGGACTGTGAGATGCAATAAATGTTTCTCTCCCTTTCTTTCTCCCTCCCTGCCCCTCTCTCTAAAAATAAGTAAATAAAATCTTTAAAAAAATACTTTTTAAGCCCTGGCTGGCATAGCTCAGTGGATTAAGTGCGCGCTGCGAACCAAAGCATCGCAGGTTCGATTCCCAGTCAGGGCACATGCCTGGGTTGCAGGCCACAGCCCCCAGCAACCACACACTGATGTTTCTCTCTCTCTCTCTTTCTCCCTCCCTTCCCTCTCTAAAAATAAATAAATAAAATCTTAAAAAAAAAAAAAGAATGGAATCTCTCAATTCCCTCACCAAAGCTTTAAAAAAATACTTTTTAAAATTTAAATCTGCTTATCTATAAACTTGATTTTCTATCTTCCTCTAGTCCCCATATCAAAATTATATTTCAACTCTCCATTCTACACAGAAGACACAGTGGTCACAAACAAAGGTGGAATTTTCCCAGCAACAGGACCCAAAATTCTTTTGTAAAGTTTTTTGTTTGTTTGTTTTAATTTGTTTAAAGCCTTGAAGTCAGAAATCAAGTTTGTAAAGCTGGAAATCCAGAAAGGTTAACAAGGTTTGAACACTCCAAGCAGCGAAGAAATGTGACTTGAAACAGCCCCACTGGTGGCAAATATTTTCAGTGAAGAGTTAGCACAGCAACACTTTCAACCATGCTGTATTTCCAGAAAAAGAATCACAGGGGTCTTGGGAGAAGCACATGGCAGCAGTATTCAACCCCAGATCCCTTCCTGATTAAAAGCTATAAGTCACAAAGTCATGGTAACTACTTCTACTCATACAACCCATGGTGACAACTGCCAGTCCTCCAAATTGACTTGGAGGACAAATTGGCTTATTTCCTCCAAGCTAGGCCATTCAACTATTTTTAAAATCATTGTAAATTAAATTAAATTAGATTAAATTAAATTAAAACAAAACATCATAGTAGGGATGATTATAATTTGCTGTTTCCTTGAAATCCCTGTTTTGGTATTCCAAGGAAATAGCAGTCCAATACCTGTCCCCCTTGCTAAGGTTATAACAAGAAAATCTTATCCTATAGAATTTATAACCTAATTATTATTTCTGGTACTTAAGCAAACTTGGAGCTCTCTTACATGGTATAGTCTTTATTTAGCACTACAGTGAAATCCTAGCTTCTCTCAAAGGGCCTCAAAATCAATCATTAAACAAACAAATCCTACTGCTAAAATGGCTTTAAATTTTTGTGCCTATAAATAAATAACTATACTCCACAATATTATTATAGGTAACAAGATTTCAAGTAACACTTTATCAAACCTTGTTTTTACTGATAGATTCTGATGCTCCAAGTAACGATTGAATGCAGGCAGATAAGGCTTCCTGTGATAATCCTTGGAACACTGCCCTCTGGTGAAATAAAAGAGAAACATCACCCTGTAGCACTTCACAAACAGGAAAAAAAGGTCATAGGTTGAGTACAGGGACCGACTGCTTGGCCCTCATCCATTGGATTAATTTATGTTACTAGCAATATTCCTCCTGGAATTTCCTATTCCACTACAATCTTTCTATATTAATACATAGTTTCATAATGTGCATCTCTCAAACCACTCAAGGACCCTTTAATAATACTTCCCGAGCACCTACCTCATGCCAAACTCTGTGCTAGATGCTAGAAGTACAGTGGTGGATAGACAAGGCTGATATAATTCTGACCTCATAAAGCTCTCACTTCAATAAGATCTCATGCTGGAAGCTGTTTTTTAAATATATAAAACCAACTTTAAAACAAACCCTCAGTAAATCCACTTCTAAAAATGTATCCCAAGTGATTAGTCAGTAGTATATAAGATTCATCCATGTGGCTCTTAATCCCAATATTATTTAAAACATCAAAAAACTGGAAATAAAATGTTCAGTGATGAAGGGGATGACAAATAAAATACTAGTAACCTAAGTTACAGAATGCTGCATGAAATAAAATAATGCTAAAGGAAGTGATGAAAACCTATAAAATATAATTAGGTGAAAAAAATCAGGTGATAAAATGGTATATTAAGTATGATTCTTAAATTAATTGTCATTTCTATGTCTTCCCAGAGGTGTCACATGTTGGTCTGGGCAGGCACTCCTGTCAGCCCTCTTGCTTTCCTCCCTGTGTCCATCCCACCCAAGATAGAATTGTTAAGAATGAGCCTCAGCAAAATATTTGTCATTAGTCTAGAGTCCTGGGCCCTGGCCTTACTTGATGCTATTTTTTTTGTTCCCTCTCTCTTATTTTCCATGAGGTCACTGTAGTAAGAAGAGACTAGGGTTGCCTCTTGTTAAGTCACTGACTCTACTTTAGGAAGCCTGAAGATGGCAGCTTAGATTAAGATCCTCTCTTTCTCCTGGTCAGCCTTAATGGGGTTTTCACAGGATTTGTCTCTCCTCTCCTTTGATGGCTAAAGAGAGAAGGATAAGACATGAATGTAAATTAAGTGAAAAAATAATAAACAGGCCTAGGGCATATAATAAATACAGGCAGAGTGGCATCCTTAAGCCTATCTACTATTTAGCTAAAATCCATGTTAAGAACCTAAGAGGTTTCACTAGGGTCTCTGATGACAATGGGTTCTATGTGGAATATGCCCCCTGCACATTTCTCTTGAAACCCTGGCTCCACTGTAGAAGTTTCTAAATCCCAGCATAATACCATCATTCAATACACCTGCTGGGAACCAGGGGAAAGTAATGCCAATGTCCAAAACTCCCTCTGGAAGAGACCTCATCAGCTGGACAAAAAGGCTGACTCTAACTCTGTAGAGGTGATGTGGCCCCACCTCAAAAAGTCCCAAAACTGGGCAAAAAGCACTTTGTAGTTAAATTTCAAAATCTCCAAGCACAAAATCCAGTAAGTATACAGTTTAAAATAGATACTGAGTAGTTTGTTGTCTACTGAGCCAATGAAACAACTGTGCAACCTTGTTCAGGCCCTAGGACTCTGAGTCAAAGCATCTCCATAGTGAGAGGGGATACACATACCCCTTTGACCCATATTCTTAAGAAACAGTGGCATCTAGACAATTAATTACATGACTTGTATTTAATCACTTCTCTCTTTACATGCTAATTGGGTTATAATAATCAAATTAATTTTTTAAAGGTGAATTAAAGCCACTGAATTTTATAAACTATTTTGGATCAGCAGCAAACTGGTAACTGTAAATGAATGTAGACAAATCTGATCTTTCAGGGATTGATGATTATAAATTGGAATGCTCAAAGTAACTATTACCTGAAATAAATGCACATTATAAGTTGGGGCTAAAAAAATAAAGCAGGGGCAGGGGAGAAGGGGTATGCTAACTTCAGCAAATAAGTAAAATCAGTCCATGGTTAGAAATACATGTAAATATGACTTGTTAAGGAAGCTGATTTAAACCGAGTACAAAACTAAATTATAGTAATTGAATTTAATACTAAATTTAAATACTAAATGTATATTATACCTATGTGACATTGGATATATCACTTAAACTTTCTGCATCTCTTTTTCTTCATCTATAAACTAAGACAAATGAATTAATCTATAGTTTTAAATTTATTTGTGGTCATAGATCCCCATGAGAATCAATACAAGCTATGGCCCTTCTCCTCAAAAAGATACAAATACAATCATGCATACACAATTTTACCAAAAATATTAAGGTGTTCACAGACTACCCAGATCCCATTAGTGGGGTCTAAGGATCCACAAAATGCTAGGGTTAAGAATCCACAAATCAGATTGATCTTAAAATTATACCTATATCTAAAAACCATATGATTCTTATCTAATACCAAATAAAATATTTTATCAAGATCATAAAATTTTAATTTAAAAACATTTCAAATTAAATGGCAAGCAATTTACAGTAAAGATAAAAATTTACATACGTACATCTATGCATCTGTACAATTTGGAGAGACACACAAGAGTTCGTCGAACGGTAGGATACCACATTCCATGAAGATCTGCTGGAGAAATTGTGGTCTGTGGTCTAGGATTCAAAGATTCCATCGAACCTAAAAATCCAAATGGAAAAGAAAACACATTTCACACACACATTGATTTATCTTGCTTGCATAGCAACTATAAACTGTTCTTGCTAACTACCATGTGCTGGAGGCATCCACTTTCTCTAGTCCCACCTTTAATCAGGAATGCTGTAAGAAACTTCGTGACAGATGAGATATAACACAGTATATCTCAGTATAACACAGTATATGTATGCATTCATGTGTGTTCTCACATACTCAACCTAATTGCTTTTCCCAAACTGTGATCAATAATCTTTATGCAATAAACGAACAGTATACACACATTACAGAACACCATGCTGCTATTAAAAAGGAGGCAGATCTACATGTAGTCACAAGGAAGCAAGTGGGACCCAATGGGGAAGGGAGATGACAAGCGAACAAAGCAATGTTAAACAGCAAGATTAATCGAAGCTGGTCTGTCTGACAGCCTGCCTTCCATGCTCTAAGCCACAGGTGGCAAACACCAGGCCTTTGGGCCAAATCCAGTCCTCCACCTAGTTTCTACCCAGCAGCAGCACCGAGTTCTAACTGTTAAGGAGTAGTTACATTTATACAGTCCTAAAACTACATTCAGCCCTCTGAAGATAACTTCAAGGCTGATGTGCCCCCAGTGAAAATGAGTTTGACATCCCTGCTCTAAGATATATCATTTGTAGACCTTCCCAACTCCAAAGACTTCACTTCCATCCCTCAACCCCTACCCCACAGTTTTCCTTATGACTTCCTTTCAGAATGACTTTATTACTTTCTACAGACTTTCTCATTACTATCTCACCTCCTAGTTATTAAATCTTAGAATCCTACTCTCTGACAACAGTATCTTCGTGATTTCACATTTCTCACCTGTTTACTCAAAATACACTGCCAAGTTCTCTTTCTTGGCTTTAATTACACCCTAGCCCCTTAACTACTTCTGATCTCTCTGGCTATTCTCAGTGAACCCACCATACTTCTCTACCTCTTGCTCCTTAACATCAGCATCTGCTAAGGCACTCTCCCCAGACTTCTGCTATCACGGCTCTACTCTCTGTCCTGGGGTGATCTTATATAATAAGCCCAAAGCATCAACTACCCCTCTATCTTTATCTCTAAACCAGTCCCTCTTTATAGCTCTAGAGTCTCAATGTCCAATAGAAATATAATGTGAGCTATAGCTGTAACATTAAAATGTCACATGGAAAAAAGTAAAAAGAAACAAATAAAATTAATTTTAATATATTTTATTTAATCCAATATACCCAAAACATCATCACTGTAACATGTAATCGATGTAGAAATTACTAATAAGATATTTTCCATTCTTTAGTTCATATTAAGTCTTTGAAATCTGGTGTGTATTTTACACAATCATGGCACATTCAGACTAGCTACAATTCACATACTCAATGGCAAGTGGCTACCATACTGGACAACACAGCTTTAGATTCATATAACACGGATGCTCTCTGTAGTTCCACACAGACCTTAATCTTTCTCAGTGCCCAACCTAGTGTGTCATTAAAGTCTGTTGGTTCAAACTTCAACCATATCCTTCATCTATACATTTCTCTCCATCCCCCAGTCACACCTTGGCTCAAACCACCTCTCTTTCAAAAAAAACAATCTCCTAATCAGTCTCTATAGTTCTGCCAACATTACCCTATTCTAAAGCCAGGTATCAATCAGTTAAAGAATAGGCTTTGGGGAGGAAAGAGAAAATGTGCAAAGCCCTGGCAAGGGCTGGTAAGGGAGCAATGTATTGTAGTCTCTCCAATGACTCTTCAAGAGATTTACTAGGATTAAGATATACACTAGGACTAAGATATACATTAGAACTAAGATACATACTAGTACCAAGATGTACTCTGGGATGTGGCATGGATTATATTTCAGAAGACAAAACTTCAACCTCCTATGAGTCTCTCTTCCTAGCAAGCATAATAAAATGGCTTTGTCAGATGGGGAATACCCAGGCTGCTTGGCAATCTGTATTTGGGGTACCAAATGTTTATAGAATTGACTCAATACTTGATGATGCCCTAAACCTGGGGATTTGGGTGTAGCTAGGTCTCTTTAAAAGTCCATGGAGTTTCACTGCCCCCACTCCTAGCCAGTCCTATGGAGAGCTGAGCATTAGTGTAACTTTAGAGTTGGGGGGGTGTGGGGGAAGAAAGGATGCCATACTTCCCATCTAACTTTTTGTCTAGGTAACTCATGAGTACACGGGGTTATTCTTGGGCAAGTTTATTCCTTGTATAACATGCACCCCAGTCCAAGTTATCCCAAACCTTTGTATTATTTTTTTAACCCCAGTCCCAGGCACTCAATACATTTATAAAATGCAAATCCAGTGGTGTAGTTACCCTGGTACACTAAATTATATTAACTAGAAGTTCAAAGTCCAAGAGACACCTAAACCCTATCACAATGTAGCCTGTTTTACCTGTTCCTACTACAATACAAACAACCTATGCCCAAGAACACCAAACAACTTGATTTCCCCAAAGCAGCCAGTCTTCCCATCCTGCATGCCATCCACCATGCTATTCTATCTTAACCTTATTTCACCTGGCTTTTTCAAACTCACCTTCATAACCTCTACAGCTTTCAGACAACACACCTCTCACTGAATCCATCTTCTTCTACTCAAATTTCACCTCCCTTCATAATTTTTATCCCCCTCTTCCACAAGTGCCTTGTGCCTACCTTTTAACATGTCACCACTGAATTATGCCTGTGGTTTGTCAATCTCCCCTGACTAAAGTGTGGGCTCCACAAAAGCACAAGCTGTTTTTCATGTCTGGGTTGTGATAAGTCCTCAATATAAGTTTTTTTAAAGAATAAATAAAAGTTGGAAGTTAAAACATTTTAACATACCAGATTTTGTCAGATTATTAGACTTTGTTTCTTCTAATCGAACATCTGAAAAAGAAGCTTCTGAAGGTACCTTCTTCTGTTCATCTTTTAAACTCTGTGCAATTTGCTATATAGAGAAATCAGAAGGACATTAAGCTGTTTGGCAATATGAACATGTTTTTCCCTTAAAGTTAAAAAATAATAATCAATGGACTAATAAAGAGAACTATGCCAAAACAGCAAATGGAGATGAAAAAGTTAAATTATTATAGACTGTCTATATTCTACTAAGCTACCCAAAATAAAATAAATTTAAATAGAAGTCAGGAGAGACAAAGTTTAGAAAAACATTCTAAAAACATAAGTAAGGGCATAAACTAAATAGACTGCCATATTTCAAGCCTGTTAGCTTTAAGACAAACATACCTATCCCCACACATTTATCAGTGCAGGTACTGAAACAGGTTAAGGTAAAATGCTGGTGAGGATTTGGAGCAACAGGAAGGGGCTGGTACATACACATGTATCTCTTTGCTACGTCAGCTGAGAAGTCCCAGAGGCACCAACAGCCCATAGTAATGAGTACACTTAAGCACCCAGATCTTGGTTTCTAATACTATTCTCCAACAAAAGGAGTCAGGATTCCTTGAAGAAATAGCCAATTCTAGAGCTGAGGCAGGAAAAAGTAAAGATGAACCTGGAGCATCTTACAGTACCAAGAAAGTGAGAAAGTACTCAAGAGAAAAAAAAAAAGAAAGTAAAAGAAATGCTACATTGAAGGGATATGTCAAAACAACATAAGAACCAAGTGAAAGAGCTCCCAATGACCAAAGGTGTAACTATTCGAACAACAAAATAAAGGAACTGTGAACTATAATCCCAAATATAAATCTCCATGAGTTCATGCTGATATCAAGAGAATGAGTGAATAAATACAAATCTCCTTTGCAGAAAAATTCCAAATAATTTATACAGATACTCTGCCCTCAAGGAAGTAGAGCATAACTCCCCACTCCTTAAGTAGGGCCTGAACAAAGAGCTTCCTTCTAAAGAGAACACAGAAGAGGAGGAAAAACAGCAACTTCCCAGTAGAGCCAGACAACACTGCCTCAGCTAGGTGATCAAGGTCAACATAAACGGTGCTAAGTCATGCTGACAGTATTTACCCTTGCTATGATGTGTTGAAAATGGTAATTTACCTCTACAGCTATCCTCTTAAAAAAACTCATGACAGCAGTCTAATCATGAGGAAAACATCAGACAAATTCCAACAGAGAGGCAGCTATAAAACAATCTAAAAGTTTCCCTCTAAACTGTTAAAAATATCAAAAACAAGGAAAATCTGAAAAACTGTCACAACCCAGAGGATCCTAAGAATATATGAAAAATAAATGTAACAGTATAAATGGGATACTGGAACAGAGAAAGTCATTAAATAAAAACTAAGGAAATCTGAATAAACTATGGACTTTAGTTAATACCAGTGTATTATTACTGGCTCATTAACTGTGTCAAATGCATCATATTAATATAAGATGTTAATTAACATATCAGAATGGGTATGGGTATACTTGAACTCTTCTCAAATGTAGTATCTTCTCAATTTTTCTATAAATCTAAAACTGTTCAAAAAATAAAATGTATTTTTAAAAAAGAAGAGAGTCAAGATGTGTGCCATCTAGGAGAAGCTGTCTAAACAGAAACAGGATAATGACAGGATGATAACTTAACAACTGTGACTATTACAATTTGGTGACAAAAAGTATATTGATAAATATGGGCTACACTTAGGAAGAAATAGACTTTAATGTATTTCTCACTGACAAATTTAAGTATAGCAGCACTCCCGCCCTAAACCAATAATAATTAAGCAAGGATAGTTTACGAATGTGGCAAAACTTAGGTTACATTTTTTAAAATGTTAAAAACACGTGATGACATAGCAAAGTTATTATTCAAACAAACTGGATCAAGTAATTTGGTTTTTTAAAGACGTTATTTATTTTTAGAGCGAGAGGAAGGGAAGGTGAAAGAAACGGAAACACTTCCTTCCCTTCTGTGAGAGAAACACTGATTGGCTGCCTCTTGCACGCCCCCAACTGGGGACCTGGCCTGCAACCCAGGCATATGCCCTGACTGGGAATCAAACTGGTGACCTTTCCCTTGCGGGATGATGCCCAACATATTGAGCCATGCCAATCAGGGCTGGATCGGGTAATGTATTTTAATTGTTTAAGAAATAGTTACCTTCTTATAGGTTAAGTGAACCTGCAAAACCAACACCCTTCATATTAAATTTTAATACAGGAAAGGAGACCATCAAAAGTCACCTTTACTAACAAGGCAAATGTCTTATTTTCAAAAAAGAGTAACTCAAAATCATAGAAACAGAGAACAGATAGGTGGTTGCTCTGTGAGGGGGGGGTGCAGATGGGGAAAATGTGGAAAGGTAGTCAAAGGATATAAACTTGCAGTAACAAGTAAGTTCTGGGGATCCAATGTAGAGTATGGTGACTATAATTAACAATACTGTACTTTATATTCAGAAGTTGCTAAGACAGTAAATTTTTAAAGTCCTCACCAACACACAAAAAAAATACTGTTACTATGTGCAGTGATGGATATGTTAACTAACCTTATTGTGGTAAATATTTCACAATGTATACATATAACAAATAATTATATTGTACACCTTAAAGTTATATAATGTTAATAATTATATCTCAATCAAGCTGAAATACATTAAAATTAAAAATTAAAAATTTTAACTATAAGGTTATATTTTACTTAATGACTTTCAGTCAAATGTTATGTTTCTAAATATTTCAAAGGCTAAACAGTAACAGCCACTGTCTACTGTATGACTACTAAGTTAAGTGTTTTCTAGCCATTATCTCTACTCTCACAACCCTCCATGGTCAGTACTGTTATGCCTATTTTACAAATAAAACATTCATAGAAGCTAAGTAACAGATATTGACTGACAGAGCTAGAATTTGAACCTGTATCTGCCTTACTCTATACTTCTCCGCATGCCATGCAAATGGCACCCTTACATGGGCAAAATCTCTAGTCTAAAGAGATTAGCTCTTATATAAAATCTTCAGATCTATAGTTGAGTTATCTGATTGTACAGAGTGGGGCCACTTTGGAAAACAGCTTGGCAAATGATGATACACAAAGTTACTATATGACCCAGCAATTCTACTCCTATGTATATATACAGAAAAATAAAAAATAGCCACACAAAAAAGTGCACATCAATGTTTATAGTAGTATTTTTTATAACAGCCAACCCAACTGTCCATTGATGGACAAAGAAACAAAATGTAACATATCCATACAACAGAATATTATCCAGGCATAAAAAGGAATGAAATACTAATACATGCTACAACATGGATGAACCATGGAAACATCATGCTAAATGAAAGATGTCATAAAACACCACCTAGTATATGATTCCATTCATATGAAATGTCCAGAACAGGACAATCTATGGAGAGAAATGTGTTTGCCTAGGGCTGGTGTAGGAATATGATAGCTAAAGGTTACAAGATTTCTTTCTGAGATGATGAAAATGGTCTAAAAATGGTGATGGTTGCATGTATCTGTGAACCTATTAAAAACAACTTAATTATAAACTCTAAATGAGTGAATTATAAACTGTACTTCTATAAAGCTGCTTAGGGAAAAAGAAAGAAGTACTCAAAGATTAGAGCAACATGTTGAAAGGACAAAGAAGCCAATCTAAAGGGGATTCCACTCATCAAACTTGGGACAATTTTAAGCATCAAAAAGAATAATTATGACAATGAATTATAATGACTTTTTAAAAGTCCACAATTATACAGAGACAGGAGTAGGAAAGAGGAAGAGAAAATAAGTCTTAAGAGCAGAAGGCTAACTAATAAATGTAGAAGAAATGGCAGGTATGAAAATAACCATTTGCTACCCTCAAAGTAGTATCGGGGTATCCAACCTTTTGGCATCTCTGTGCCACACTGGAAGAAGAGCTGTCTGGGCCACACACATTGCGACATGTAATCACAAAAAAAAATTTTAAAATCTCATGTTTTAAGTAATTTTACAGTTTTGTGTTGGGCCACATTCACAGCCATCCAGAGCCTCACACAGCCTGCGACCCGCAGGTTGGACACCCTAACTCGTTCAGTCAAGAATTGTTAATAATTGCAAACACCACTGGGTGAAAAGATGTTGGGGAACTCGTATAATCTCAACATCATTTCTTACTAACTACAAAGGAAGGAATGAACTTTTATAATAAAGAGTTAATAGTCCCTACCTTAACCAATACTAGAATAACCTGACATTATGTACCTGTCATACAATGAAGTTAGAAGTACACAACATCAACTATGTAGTATTCTTACCAGAAAGCCAAAAAGTGTTTAACCTGAATCTCAACATGAGGAAAACAGATCCTGAATGTACAACATTCTACAATAAAACTGATTTCATCTCTTCAAAAATGTCTTACGTCCCAAGTGGCTGGGGGGTGGGGTGGGGGGGGGGTGAGGGTGGACAGTGGGGAGGCAGGGAAAAAGAGGAAAAATTCTAGTTTTGATTTAAGGAGACATAATATTCAAATGTAACATAATAACCTTGACTAGATTCCACCTTTTTTATTTTTTCTTCAAAAAAGTCTATGTCAAGAATTTCCAGTGAAGTTGGGGCGTAGGTAGATATACTTTGCCTCCTCATACAACCAAAAGGACAACAAATTCAAAAACAAAATATAACCAGAACTGCCAAAATTCGAACTGTATGGAAGTCCAACAACCAAGAAGTTAAAGAAGAAACATTCATCCAGACCCGTAGGAGGGGCAGAAACGAGAAGCCAGGATGGAGAGTACTTGCCTCAAGGTGGCGGCTAGAGAACCAGGGTGCACAAAGCAGCAGCTAACAGAGCAGGTGTTGCCACATTTGCATGCAGATAAACCAAAAAGGAACAACTGGGGAGAGAGAAAGACTATGCGACCCAGGGTTCCAGTACATGCAACCCACGGTTCCAGTACGGGGAAATAAAGCCTCAAAACCTCTGACTGAAATGACCTGTGGGGGCTGTGGCAGCTGGGAGAAACTCCCAGCCTCACAGGAGAGTTTGTTGGAGAGACCCACAGGGTCCTACAATGTACAAAAACCCGTCCACCCAGGAATCAGCACTAGAAAGGCCTAATTTGCTTGTGGGTAGCTGTAGAAGTGACTGAAAGCTGACAGAGAGCTAAACAAGCAGCACTGTTCCCTCAGACCCCTCCACCACACACAGCACCATAAGGCATCAACATGGGTTGCCCCACCCCAGTGAACACCTAAGGCTCTGACCCTTGCTATGTAACAGTCGCACCAAGGCAGAAGGAAAAAAAAAACAAAAAAAAGGGCCCAAATGAAAGAACAGATCAAAGCTCCAGAAAAAAATACAATTAAGCAATGAAGACATGGCCAACCTATCAGATGCACAGTGCAAAACACTGGTAATCAGGATGCTCACAGAAATGGTTGAGTATGGTTGCAAATGAGGAAAAAGTCAAGGCTATGAGAAGTGAAATAAAAGAAAATGTACAGGGAATCAACAGTGAAAGGAAGGAATCCAGGACTCGAGTCAACGGTTTTGACCAGAAGGAAGAAATAAAACATTCAACCAGAACAGAATAAAGAAAAAAGAATTCAAACACACAAGGAGAGGCTTAGGAACCACTAGGACAACTTACAATGTTCCAACATCCAAATCATAGGGCCCAAAAAATCACAGGGCCCCAAATCATAGGGGAGCCAGGAGAAGAGGAAGACCAAGAAACTGAAAACATAATGAAGAACTTCCCTAATCTGGCAAAGGAAATCAACTTCCAGGAAGTCCAGGAAGCTCAGAGAGTGCCAAAGAAGTTGGACCTAAGAAAGCACACACCAAGGCACATCATAATTACATTAGCCAAGATTAAAGATACAAGGAGCGAGTCTTAAAAGCAGCAAGAGAAAAGGAGACAGTTACTTAAAAAGGAGTTCCCGTAAGACAATCAGCTAGTTTCTCAAAAGAAACCTTGCAGGAAGGGGCTGGAAAGAAGTATTCCAAGTCATGAAAGGCAAGGACCTACATCCATGATTACTCTGTCCAGCAAAGCTATCATTCAGAATGGAAGGGCAGGTAAAGTGCTTCACAGATAAGATCAAGTTAAAGGAGTTGATCATCACCAAACCCTTTTTATATGAAATGTTAAAGGGATTTATCTAAGAAAAAGAAGATCAAAAATACGAATAGTAAAATGACAATAAACTCACAACTACCAACAACCAAACCTAAAAAAAAAAAAAAAAAAAACAAAAAACAAAACTAAGCAAACAACTAGAACAGAAAGAGATTCACAGAAATGGAAATTACATGGAGGGTGATCAGCGGGAAGGGGGAAGGGGGACAATGAGGGAAAAGGTACAGAGAATAAGAAGCATAAGTGGTAGATACAAAATAGACAGGGGGAGGTTAAGAATAGTATGGAAAATGGAAAGGCCAAAGAACTTATATGTATGACCCATGCATATGAACTAAGGTGGGGAAATGATGGTGGGAGAGAGGGTACAGGGTGGAGGGGAATAAAGGGGAGAAATAAATAGGACAACTATAATAGCATAATCAATAAAATATATTTTTTTAAAAAGGTCTATGTCCCAGGTAAGGGTTGGGGGGTGGGTTGCAGGGGAAAAGAGGAGGAAAAAGTCTCGTTTTGATTTAAGGAGACACAAAATTCAAATGCAACACAGTAACCTTGACTGGATTCCACCTTTTTAATTTTGGGGTCCAGCTAGGACAACGGGAGAAATCTGAATATGGCCCGTATATAAATAATACTCTTGAATAAATGTTAATTTCCTTAGATGTAAAATCTTCATTCTGATTATGTGGAGAATGTTTTCATTCTTAGGAGAATAATAACAGAAGTACTCAGGAGTGAAGTATCATAACATCTTTTAATTATTTTCAAATAGTTGAGCAAAAATCACAAAAAGAATTTAAGTAAATGTGTTAAGACATTAACTGGTGAATCTGAATAAACTTGAGATTCAATGGAATATTAATGATATTAGGGAAGTATAAGTAATGTTTTCAGGTGTGATCATTGTATTATGGTTGTGTTAAAAATAAAAAAATAAAAGTACCCCTACCATACAGTTACCTACTAAAATATTTACTAATGAAATGATGTTCAGAATTCGCTCTAAAATAACTAATGGTGCAGAGGGGAAGTAAAAGCATTCTAAATGAAACAAGATTGGCCATGTTGAAGCTGGGGTAATGATATGTAGTAGTTCATTATGGTATTCTATTTTTGCTTATATTTGAAAATTCCATTTAAAAATTCTAGGATCAAACTGTTTTAGCACTAACATCCGAGGCATTATTTAAACTTGGTCCAGCACTCAGGGAGTAGAAGATCAGTGAGGTAAACCTAAGTCTTCAAACTATTAATTGAACATCAGTACTGTATAGTTTTAAGGATGTGGTTACTGTATTACCATCAATTATAATGGCTCTTATGTTATCAAACTTCATCAATGCCACTTATAAAGAAAAAAGAGAAATCACAGGAAGCACTAATTCAATTTAAAAATTCAGAATGCCTGTTTCCTGAACAAGGGAAGAGAACTGAATAGAATGTTTATAAAATATAACTTGAAGGAGAGACAACCTAACAAACTTTTTCTGTTCAACTTTTTTATATTTTATGTCCTATGATCTTGTGGCAAGTTTATCTGGACGGTACATTTTGAATAAGAATTAAAAAGAAAAATCCTATTTTATCTAGTACAAAACATCCAACAGTTGTTAGGGGTGGGGGCGAGATCAGTAAGCAGAACCCACCTCCATCATTACTAACTTATCAGGATAGGCCAGATCTCCAGGAGCTGGTTTGTAGCCAGTAATGTCTGTCTGAATGTAGATGTGGGTTCGGTAGACAAGCCGCTCTTGTACATCTTCCAACATCTGCTTTACTCCAGCTGCAAATGCTCCTAGTTGTTCGGCTGATTAAAAAAAGTGCAATTATCCATTCCTTTAAGATTTAGAAAAATACTCTCTTTAAAAAAGCAAAAATATTACTAAATTGTTTAGTAATAGTATGAACCACTTTTGTTTCATGGATTGTGGTTGTACATACCCTATTTCAGTGTGACTCAATGACCTTAGAATAATTTAATGTCTCTCAATTTCCTCAAATTTAAAATTAGAAAATAAATTTTCCCTTATATCTTCTTCTGGGACTCTGTGAAATTATTTATATTATTAGTATATATGAATAATAATACATGACTTTTAAAGTGCTTTGTGCTTTTCAAGTTATATAGCTTCAAACCAATCCTGAGATACAGCAAGTCAATTTATTAATTGGATTGTCATCCCCATTTTAAAAATAAATTGAGTCCCATAGATATTAAATGATTTATTAATACTTTCATAAACAAAAATGATTTAAAAATAAGGTATGGTCCTGGCTGGTATGCCTCAATAGACTGAGCACCAGCCTGTGAACCAAAGGGTCACTGGTTCAATTCCCAATCAGGGCACATGCCTGGTTTGCTGCCCAGGTCCCCAGTAGGGGCAACCACATATTGATGTTTCTCTCCCTCTCTTTCTCCCTCCCTTCCCCTCGGTCTAAAAATAAAGAAAGAAAAAAATAAGATGATTTTATACAGAATATCTTCATTTCTAAGATGCCATCAATGTTCAGACACAACCAGTAATTCAGTAACAGCAACCCAAGGGCTAGGGAGTTGGAGACACTACAAAATCACATAAATAGTCACATTAATTTTAAAAATCAACTTTAGTTCAGAAACATTAAAATGTGAGAAAATGCCCTTGTTAATGTCAAATGCACAAAAGAAATTGCAAAACTGTTATTTTCTGGAGCATTGGAGATCTTGTTTCCTGGCATATGTCATCAGTTGGCTCAAATAAACTCACATAAAAATTCAAAAAAAATGAGGTAATGTATGTCTTTGAATGAACTAAATGCAGTAGAATAGAAACATTTGGAAGAGTAACAAACCTACAGTATCTCTTAAGGAAAGTCAAATAATCTCTGCCAGTAAAATGATTACCTAGAACGGTATTTTTTTAAAGGTACCTAAGTATCATTAGAAAAATCATTTTTATGATAATCAAATCAAATAGTAAGGAATGTATCATATGGATAAAGCAAAACTGTTAACAGAGAACTGCTTTTATTTTTAATGTCAAAAAGATGAATCATTACTACATATGTAAGTTGAATAATTCCTGTTTTTTATTCAAGAGCATACAATATAGTCAATTACTTTATGTATTCTGGTAACAGTGTACTAGAAATGCCCAACACAAAACTGATGGTCTGTTCTCTCAATATTTCAGAAGCCAGAAAGAAAAGTAACCATATTTTATTACTAATTTTTCCCAGTTTTTAAAATGCTTTCCCCATTTAATTTGTCCATTTAGTCGTATTTAGAATAAGGTACATCTTTGATTCAAAAAAGGACAAGGCATCACCCCAGGCTTCAAAAATATTAAATTTATGTAGGTGGTAGGTAGGGGTAAAAAGAGCTAATCTTTTTCAAATTCACTGAGCCACAAATATACTTTAAAAGGCCTTTGAAATGATCACTTCTACTTATCATTTACCATTGTTCTGTACATGATCTTCAAGCACCTCATTTTTAAGAATCCCACAAAGTTCCGAAAGAGTTTCTAAGTGAATAACATGAATGATCAATGGCCTGAAGACATCATACAATGACACACATAGTTTCTCCAAAAGTTCACTAAAATAAAGAAACAAAACACAATTCAGTAGTAAGCTTTTCAGTTTAAAAGGCATCTTTGATTTCTTCCAGGCAATAAACAGAGTAAAAATCTACTGGAAAAATAGTATGGGGAACATTATACAGGGTCTGGCAGAAGTAATGTCTGCTTCAGTGTGGATGATAGGGTAATAATATGGGTGTAATAATTTAGTTTTAATTTGAACATTTCACCTAAAATGTCATATAGTATATTTGACTATAATATTATGTTACAGAATTGCATGCTTATGATTTTGTAATAAAAAGGGGGCATTATTTGTGCTAGATCCTGCATAATAAGGAGGGAAAGGCTAAAATTCTGTAAAGTGTTGTTTTAAAAGCCAAGAATCAATACACAATCAGCAATCAACTCAAATTAGCTGCCCCCAACCAAATGTCAATTCATTATAACTTTTTCTTACTTTAGTAATCTCTGTATATGTCCTTTCAAAAATAGTATTTCAATAGACTTATTTATCCTTTTATATTCTACATCGCTGTGAATCAAATGGTAACATTTTCCCCACTAAAGATATGTTCAAAATTCTTGAAAACTTACAGATTTAGATAAACAAAATTCAAAGTATTCTGGACATACAAGTATTTTGGCATAAACATTTGAAAAGTTATGTTGTCTATATTCTTCACACAGTCAATAGTATTCCTCTACATGCAGTATTTCATCCAAAGTGATCAACCCAATTAAAATCATAAAGTACATTTGTCTGTTCCCCATTATGAGGGTTATAGTCTTAGAACTGCCAATATGAAGAAGCCGAAAGTTACTAACAGTGGATCTGAAAGACACTTTAAGAAAAAATTCTTAAAAGGACATTAAATAGTGTCTGTATTCTTAAATGTCTTTCTTTAGTTAGAATCACAGAATTTTTCAACTGCAAGGATTTATATGATTGGTGGAGATCTTAAAAGGATCTAGATCCCAAGACTTATTAGTTCCCTATACAGGATTTTTATTATCATACCATACTGTCTCCATAATTACCTTATAAACACTATAAAAGCATGGTGGCCTTTAAATTGCACATTTATCTTAAATAAGTACTGTCCCACTCAGCAATATTCTGTTCACACACCCACAAAAATTAAAATACTCTGCCAGCTAACTTAAGAATACTCCAGTAATATAAGCCATTATGATCATTAGCAAACTGAATCTTAAAAACAACAGTTAAACTCTGTGTACTACCTACTCTAATTTTGATGTTGGTTTTGTGAAAAATTCATTATAAAGTTGGTGCTCATCCTGGCATACATGGACCATAAAGGCACAGCCACTGCGAATCTGCAGGAAACAAATACAAACCACCTACAGTTAAAGACACACAACAATTCTAGCATTTAGGAAATAAAGCAAACATTTTATTTGCAAAGAAATTATGTATACATTTTCATACAACAACTTGCTGAAGCACAGAATGAAAAATGTGAATATGATTTTTATTTTTTATGCTTTATTTTCTAAACTTTTGACAATGAATAAATTACTTTTCTAGTTGAATATGGAGTACTTAAAAAAGGAATTTTTACATATTTTTCTGTAGTATAAACTAAAATCACACTAAACAAGAAAGCACTTCTGCAGCAAAACCTAAGATAAATCTACAAACTTTGGAACTTCACCATTCAGGGAACAATATTTATTTGTGATTCTTCATACCTCAAAAAACAGATCAAAATGAGAATATTTTGTCCAAATGAATGCTAATTACTAAACTAGGCTTGTCTTAACTGAAAAAAAAATTCTTTAAGTTCGTTGATATGGGAACCAAAGCTTATCTAGCCAGTATAGCTTCTAGGGTATCAAAATATTTCAGAGGAAGTTTAAACATTAAACCAAAATAAGCAGAAACTTACCAAGGCACAGTGATCTCTGTTATTCTGGCTCGTTAACTCAGTTACAGTACTAGTAATACTAGGACCCAAAAGGAGCTGCCGCTGATCAAGATAACACTGGTGGATATCATTTAGCAGTTGTTGGTATCTGATGAAAATCAAGTGAGATGGGAGTATAAACTTTTGATTTCAGACATGTAAATTAAATCTGATCTTAAATCCCAGAAAAGGATGCCAAACCTCTAAAAATTTATGGTCACCTCTCATTTACCCACATTAAATATTAGAAATATTTATTTAACCTTTACTCTTTAACAAAAGATTTATCTTCCAAAAGTAGTCATCTTACATCTACCCAAATGCAAAGAAAATCCTGTTATGGTGAAAGAGAGTTACCTTGCTGAAAGGCAGCATGGCAATTATAATTAATGATATTCATTGCATATTGGAAAGTTGCTACAAGGATAAATCTTGTAAGATCTCATCACAGGAAAAAAAACAGGTCTGTACCAATGCATGGTAATAGATTTACAATAGACTTACAGTAGTGATTATATTGAATCATTATGTTGTATACCTGAAACTAATAAGTTGTATGTCATTACATCTCAATAAACATAAGTAAATAGATAAATAAGCAGAGAGATGCCTTGTACACTCACTACATCAGGTCCACAACCTTGCTTCCCAAAGTTATGTTCTATATGAAAAGATTTACATAGTATGCAAGGTAACTGCTCAGAAAATGTCTGGTATATAACAGACTGGGGAAAATGGTACTACAAGAGGAAGGTAATATGGAAACTGAGGAACTTCTAGGTACTCACTCAGGTATTTTTTCAGATCGCTGTTCTATTTGTTCAATAAGAGTCTGCAGGATAAAGAAAAACATATTAAAAGTCCATCTGTTTTAGTTATACTTCTAAGTACCTTCTGATTATAACACATGCTATTAGAAAAATCTGTAAATACAAAAAAGGTTGAAACATAAAAATCACTTGAAATACCACAAAATAATCAGTCAAAATGAATATTCTTTCAGTTTTTTGTAGACATACACTATAGTTACTATATTTTTCTTCATAAACAAAACTGGAATTATACTACACATTCAGCTTTATAATCTGCTTTTGAAAAATTAACATTATTTCTAAATATTTTCCTACTATTAATTCTCAGTATCAAATGCAAATGTAAATAGAAAGCATTATCATAATACCTGGGCACCTAGTAAACAATACTCAATGAATCATCATTATAGATATTATTTATGGCTATACAATATCCCCTTGGGTATATGAACCATAAATCAACCATTCTTCTACTGTTAAGACATCTTGGATGGTTCTTATGAATAAGAGCCCAGTGGTTAAGAGCTCTGGGCCTGGAACAAAACTGAAGGGTTTGAGAGCCAGCTCCTGGTAGCTGTTTTGAGCCCAGGAGAGAGCTGGTTCACTTCTCCGAGATTGCACTTTCCATTACGTAAAGTTGGTATAATAGTCACCTACTTCCCAGTTGGGAATCCCCAACAGTGGGTCATAAGAGATAAGTATTTTTACATACTTCTGATTCATACTCCTAAAATGTTTTTGAGAAAAATTGTTTTACGTGCCTATCAGCAGTATTTCCTGTCTCAATATAACCTCTAAAGCATTATTGCGCCTTAATCTGCCTGTTTCTAACAGACAAAAAAGATGCTACCTAACCTTAAATTGAATGTATTCTCCACTGAAGCTAAACATGAGCTCATATTTATTAACCATTTGTATTTTCTTTAAGTAATCAAGCCTCTCAAGTCCACTATAAATCTGAGTAGTTTAAACTCAAATATCACCTTCATCCTGAAACATTCCCTTAGCACCTTAGGAAAAGCTAAGTGTTTCCTGCTCTGTGGTCTTAAGGCACCTCTAAGATAATGTCACGTAATATGGAAGGACTATGCCTACCTTTCTTTCACTCGTATTCATTTTTCTGATATGAGCAAAGGACCTAATGCACAGTAGCACTTCAAAAAGCTGGCTAAATAAATTTCATAGCAATATCCTATTTATGTCAACAGACTTACTCTGACTTTGGGGGCAGCAGCTCGAAATTTCACATAAAATAGTGTGAAGGCATTGTCTGCATTAGGTACAGATAAAGGATCCTAAAGAAAAATAGGGGAGAATAGGGAAGGAAGATAATTAGCAAACAATATTTAAGTATTTAGAAAATGTGATACACACCATTTCAAATAGCTACTGCTTGGCCTATACACCAACCAAAAGCATAGGGAGAAAAATCTCAAAGAAAGATTAATATTGTTATTGCTACAAATAAGGTGTAATTATGAACTATCATCACTTCTCTCTTTATAATTAAAATTTACCCTACATTACATGAATTTTGGTGGTAAACAGTCCTGAATTCAGCTTCATACTCAAGTCATTTACTGAGAATAGGACATTTACCAAATAACTTAAGCTCTCTGATAGTCAGAACACCCATTTAAATGGTGATGACATATAAAGTCATTATGCAGCTCAATAGTAAAGCACTGTACTCAGTCAGTAGTAGTATTTATTAGGTATTATTCTCCTAAACTTATCAAAAATTTTACAAAATATAAAAGTTATATAGTCTAGCTATTATGTCAGCTAAGAGCAATAGGAATGGTAAAAATGCAACACAAGAATCAGTGGCTTTGAACTGAAAACCAAAAAGATATCCCATGTTCTTTAGAAAATATGCTTAAAAAATAAAATATATAATCTTTCAGGTTTTATCTTCTTAGCAAAGAAATGTGCTCAATGACTATCTGAGCTAGCTCCACTCTTATTTTCTAACCTAACACTCTGCTAATTTCCCACCTAGCATCTACTAGTCTGCAAATGAGTAATTTATTTGGTTCCTTCTTTACTAAGATTTCTCCTGAATATAAGCTCCATCAGGGCAGACCTTGCTAGCTCTTTTTCACTACTGTATAATTTCTAGCACAATGCCAAGAATTTAGGAGGTACTCATTAAAAATCCATTTGCTAGAGGGAAGATGGTGGTGTGGTAAGAGGGAGCAGATTCCACTTTCCCCTACACACAGGAGAAAAACCTAGCCAATCTACAGAGGAATAGAGCAAACAGCCAACAGTACTACAGCATATATGAAAATAGGAGATCAAAAACTGTAGCAGACATTGAAAAAACAGACAGTAAGGAGAGTGCTTCAGGACAATAAGGGCCCAGAGACCAACGCAGGGACCAGGGAGGCTGCAGCCCCAGGCCCAGGGCTCACTGAGTCTCCCACAGGGCTCTTAAGACAGACCTGGGTAAACCACTCCCTCCCCAGCCAAACAAGGATTGAGCAGCACCTGGGGAAGACTGGTTGGTTGAAGGCGAGGAATGAATGGCAGATACACAGGGGCTGTGAGCACCCACGCATAGCCCTGGGAAGAGTGTGCGCCCGAGCCCAGGCAACGATGGACAGCCTGGCCACGCATCCACGCCTGCAACCTGGGAAGAGTGTACTTTGTGGAAGACCTGGAGCCTACACCCATAAATCCAGTGAGAGCTTAGGTACCACAGGAGCCCCGCAGTCCACAACCGTGAACTCAGGGAAGCATGCGCTCCGCAAGAGCCCAAGAGCCCACAACCATGAACCCAGGGGAAGCCAGTGCTCCATAGGAGCCCTGGAGCCCACAACCGTGAACCGTAGGAAAGCGCACTTAAGACGGCACAGATCCCACATCCAGGGCCCTGCGGGAAGGCGCCAGATTGGCTCTGGGGACAGTGCACAGCTAGCCCTGGGGAGAGTACCCACGAGGCTGACTGAGTGCTGAACAGGAAGAGAGAAAAGCCATACCAATCGCCCCTCACCCTGCTGCAGGCAACAAGCCATAAAAACCAGTTTAGACAGTTTGAAACCAACAAGAGGTTTTTTCTTTTTTTGTTCGTATGTTTGATTCTGTTTTTTTAAGTAATTTTTATTTTTAATTTTTATTATTTTTATCTCTCAATTCCTTTTGCTTCTCTTTCCTTCTTTCTAGTTTTATTCCTGCTTCCTTTCTTTCCAATTTTATCTCTTCTTCCTTCCTTTTCTATTTCTTCTTCTTTTTAACTACCCACAACTGAGACAAAAAAGAAAAAAAACAGAATTGTGAAAAGACCAGAGTTGGACCAAAAGAGGGGGCATCCCAACAGCTGAGACAGTGAGACAAATCTAACTTTGCTATTACAGAGAAACTGCAAGTTATTGCATATTTGTATAATTATTTTCTCATTATTGTTACATCTTTTATTTTAATAGTATTTTTGTATGTCTCTTCTTTCTGTATACTCTTCCTTGCTTGGCTGATTATACTGTATCATTTAACAGGTTTCCCCTGTTATCTCATTCATACTGTACTGCTTATTTACTGTCTTTCATTTCTGTTCCATTAGTACACTATTCAAGGTTCTATACTCCCTATTCTTGTTACCTAGATCTCACAGATTCTGTCATATGATTGTTGTTCTAATATTACTGTAAATAATAGCTATTCCATACAATTGTAAATACTATACAACGCCCCCACCCCAGTACCCAAAATCTTAGCCCACTTCACGGTTTACTGAAATTACTGTAGTGGTTAAATCTATTCTCTCACACACTACACCTCTTTACCATACTTTACTCTCACCTTACCTCAGAATCTGACCTCCCTCAACCTCACGGCTTTCTAGATCCAACTCACAATCCTCCCCTCCCCAACAAGAATATTCTCTTCTTTCCATTCTTTCTAAAAAGTGGCTAGTTGGGTGGAATATACACAGTTAACACTATAGGAGATCCAAAGGACCTACTATTTCTTCTCTGCCAGCTCCTACTGTAAATACCATAGAATACTTTCTTGCTGTCTTAAACCATTTTGCCTTACCCTTCCAACTGGTGACAAAAAAGAGTAGGCTGAAGCTGTGAATACCAGGATACCCGAAGGGGACTACACTCCTGAATCACACAGGTATTCTACCATACAACTTCACACCATAAACCCAGGGAGCCAGAACAGATCAATTTAAGAAGCTGGGGCTAACAAGAAGAGTCTCACGAACAATGAGAAGACAAAGAAACAATCCCAAAATGAAGGGAACAGAGGAAGCTTCAGAAAGAATGCTAAATGAAAGAGAGGCAACTCAACTATCAATATTGAGTGCAAAGAAATGCTTATCGGGAAGCTAAATGATCTCACAATGAACTACCTCAAACTACAGGGAAACTACAATGAACTCATTGCAAACTATATCAACATGAAAAAAAATACAAACTATCAACAAGAGCCAAGAGGAAATGAAGAATACAATTTCTGAACTGAGGAACACAGAAGAAGGAATCAAAAGCAGAATCGATAAAGCAGAAGATCAGATCAGTAAATTGGGGGACAAAGTTGAAAAAACACCCAGAAAGACCAAGAAAAAGAAGAGGATCAGAAAGAATGAGGAGGGATTAAGAGAAATGCAAGACAATATGAAATATAATAATATCTGTATAATAGGGAAAGGAGAGAGGAGGAGGGGAGGGGGAGGAAGGGACAGAAAACCTATTTGAAAAGGTAATGATGGAAAACTTCCCTAATTTGATGAGAGAAAAAGTCACACAAATCCAGGAAACACAGAGAGCCCCAATCAAGAGAAACCCAAAGAGGCCCACCTCAAGACACATCATAATTAAAATGGCAAAATTTCAAGACAAAGAGAGAATCTTAAAGGCAGAAAGGGAGAAATAGGAAGTAACATACAAGGGAGCCCTAATAAGGCTAGCAGCCAACTTCTCAATGGAAACGCTCCAAGCCAGAAGAGAATGGCAAGAAATATTCCAAGTAATGAGAAGCAGAGGTCTGCAACCAACACTACTTTACCCAGAAAGGCTCTCAATCAAGATAGAAGGCAAAATAAGAAGCTTCCCAGACAAAAGACAACCAGCTCTGCAAGAGATGCTAAAGGGCCTGCTTTAAGGAAAGGAAGGAAAAGAGAGAAAGAAAAAGAGAGAGAGGAACACAGGTATGTAAATGGCAATGAATAAGTACCTATCAATAATAACCTTAAATGTAAATGGATTAAATGCTCCAATTAAAAGACATAGAATAGCTGAATGGATAAGAAAGCATGACCCACACATATGCTGCCTGCAAAAGACCCACCTCAGGATAAAAGACCTACACAGGCTGAAAGTGAAGGGCTGGAAACAAATTTTCCAAGCAAACGGACAGGAAAATAAAGCCAGGCTAACAATACTCATATCAGACAAAATAGGCTTCCAAAACAGGGCCATAAAGAGAGACCCAGAAGGTCACTTCATAATACTCAAGGGAAGAATCCACCTAGAAGACATAAACATTGTAAATATATATGCACTTAACATAGGAGCACCTAAATACATGAAGAAAATCTTGGAGGACTTCAAGAAAGATATTGAGAGCAACACAATTATAGTAGGGGATTTTAACACCCCACCATCAAAATGGACAGATCTTCCAAACAAAATATCAACAAAGATACTGTGGCATTGAACAATGCCCTAGATCAAATGGACTTAACTGATATATATACAGCCCTCCATCCCAAAGAAGCTAAATACACATTCTTTTCAAATCACATGGAACATTTTCAAAGACAGACCACATGATAGGACACAAAACAAGCCTCAACAAATTCAAGAAAATTGAAATCATACCAAGCATCTTCTCATCACAAGAGACTGAAGCTAGAAACCAACCCCAAAGAAAAAAACCCACAACACTCAAAATCATGGCGATTGAACAGCATTCTATTAAACAATGAATAGGTCAAAAGTGAAATTAGGGAAGGAATCAAAAAGTTTCTGGAAACAAATGAAAATGAACTCACAACAACCCCAAACTTACAGGACACAACCAAGGCAGTCCTGAGAGGGAAGTTCATAGCAATACAGGCCTACCTAAAAAAGACAGAAACATTTCAAACAAACAACCTAACCCTATGCCTACAAGAACTCGAGGAACAACAACAAAGACAGCCCAGAGCAAGTAGAAGGAATAAAATAACCAAGATCAGAGCAGAATTAAATGACATAGAGACTAAAAGCACAATTCTAAAGATCAATGAATCCAGGAGCTGGTTCTTTGAAAAGATAAACAAAATCGACAAGCATTTAAGCAGGCTCATCAAGAAAAAAAGAGACAAATACCATATGATCTCACCTTTAACAAGAACCCAAACAACAAAACAAAGAAACAAGCAAAATATAGTCAATGACACTGAAATGGAAGACAGGCTGACAGTGACCAGTGGGGAAAGGGGAGGGAATTTCAGAATAGCATGGGAAGGGTTTACAGGAACAAATGTGAAGGACACATGGACAAAAACTGGGGGTAGTGGGGGGTGGGTAATGGGAGGGAGGTGGGGATGGATGGGTGGGTGGGCTGGAATGGGAATAAAAGGCCAAAAACTGTACTTGAACAATGATTAAAATTTTAAAAAAAAGAGAGGGCCCAAATAAACACAATGAGAAATGAAAGAAGAAAGATTACAACTGATACCACAGAAATACAAAGGATTGTAAGAAATGACTATGAAGAACTGTATGCCAAGAAATTTGAAAACCTAGGTGAAATGGACAAATTTCTAGAAAAATATAATCTTCCAAAACTCAATGAAGAAGCAGAAAGCCTGAACAGACCATCAACAGCAGATAAAATTGAAGCAGTAATCAGAAAACTCCTGACACACAAAAGCCCTGGACCAGATGGTTTCACAGGAGAATTCTATAAAGCATTTAAGTAAGAGTTAACCCCTAACCTTCACAGACTTTTCCAAAAATTCCAAAATGATGGAAGACCCCCAAACTCTTTTTATGAAGCCAGCATCATCCTAATCCCAAAACCAGATCAAGACACAACAAAGAAATAAAACTTCAGACCAATATTGCTGGTGAACATAGATGCTAAAATCCTCAACAAAATATTGGCAAGCCACATCCAACAATACATTAAACAGATCATTTACCATAACCAAGCGGCATTCATCCCAGGGATGCAAGGATGGTACAATATTCGCAAATCAGTAAATGTAATACATCACATAAACAACAGCAAAGACAAAAATCACATGATCATATCAATAGATGCAGAAAAAGAATTTGATAAGGTACAACACCCATTTATGATAAAAACACCCAGCAAAGTGGGAATAGAGGGAGCATTCTTCAAGATAATAAAAGCCATATATGAGAGACCAACAGCCAACATCATACTCAATGGGTAAAAATTAAAATCTTTTCCACTAAGATCAGGAACAAGACAAGGCTGTCCACATCCACCACTTTTATTCAATATAGTATTGGAAGTTTTTGCCACAACGATCAGACAAAAAAAGGAAATAAAAGGCATACAAATCGGAAAGGAGGAAACAAAACTGTCACTGTTTGCAGATGACATTATAGTGTACATAGAAAATCCTATAGAATCGACCAAAAAACTGCTTGACCTAATAAATGAATTTGGTAAAACAGCAGGACATAAAGTCAATATCCGGAAATCAAAGGCATTTTTGTACACCAACAATGAAACAGCAGAAGCAGAAATCAAGAAAAAAATCACATTCGATGTAGCAAAAAGAAAAATAAAATACCTAGGAATAAACCTAACCAAAGAGGTAAAAGACCTACATTCAGAAAACTACACAACACTGAAGAAAGAAATCAAGGAAGACACAAACAAATGGAAACATACACCGTTTTCATGGATTGGAAGAACTAACATCATCAAAATGTTTATACTACCCAAAGCAATTTACAGATTCAATGCAATATCTATTAAAGTACCAATGGCATATTTCACAAACAACAAACACTTCAAAAATTTACACAGAACCATCAATGACCCTGAATAGCTGCTGCAATTTTGAGAAAGAAGAGTAAAGTAGGAGAGATCACAATACCTGATATCAACTGTATTACAAGTCCGCTATAATCAAAACAGCCTGGTACTGGCATAAAAACAGGCACATGGACCAATGGAACAGAACAGAGACCCCAGAAATAAACCCAAGTCTCTATGGTCAATTAATATTCAACAAAGGGGACAGCAACATAAAATGGAGTAACAGTAGTCTCTTCAACAAATGGTGTTGGGAGAAGTGGACAGCTACATGCAAAAAATGAATGTCGAGCACCAACTTACACCACATACAAAAATAAATTCAAGGTGGATAAAAGATTTAAATATAAGCCGTGACACCATTAAAGTCTTATAAGAGAACATAAGCAGGAAAATCTCAGATATTTCACTCAGCAACATTTTTACTGATATATCCCCTTGAGCAAGAGACAAAAAGGAAAGAATAAACAAATGGGACCTCATAAAAATAAAAAGCTTCTGCATGGCTAAAGAAAACAGTATCAAAATAAAAAGAGAACCAACTGTATGGGAAAACATATTTGCCAATGATATACCTCAGGCAAGGGTTTCATCTCCAAAATATATAAAGAACTTACACAACTCCACTTTAAGAAGACAAGCAACCCAATTAAAAAATGGGCAAAGGACTTGAACAGAACTTCTCCAAGAAAGACACACAGAGGATCCAGAGACACATGAAAAGATGCTCAATATCGCTAGCTATCAGAGAAATACAAATTAAAACCACAGTGAGATACCACTTCACACCAGTCAGAATGGTCATCATAAACAAAGCAACAAACAACAAGGTTATGGAGAAAGGGGGACCCTAGTGCACTGTTGGTGAGATTGCAGACTGGTACAACCACTATAGAAAAAAGAATGGAATTTTCTCAGAAAATTAAAAACGGATCTGCCTTTTGACCCAGCAATTCCACTGCTGGGACTATATCCTAAGAACCCTGAAACACCAATCCAAAAGAACCTATGCACCCCAATGTTCATGGCAGCACAATTTATAATAGCCAAGTGCTGGAAGCAACCTAGGTGCCCATCAGTAAATGAATGGATCAAAAAACTATGGTACATTTACACAATGGAATTTTGTGCAGCAGAAAGAAAGAAGGAGTTCCTACCCTTTGCTACAGCATGGATGCAACTGGAAAGCATTATGCTAAGTGAAATAAGCCAGGCGGTGAAAGACAAATATCATATGATCTCACCTTTATCAGGAACCTAAACAACAAAACAAACAAACAAGCAAAACATAACGAAAGATACTGAAATAGAGAACAGGTTGACAGTGACCAGAGGGGAGAGGGGAGGGAATTTCAGGGGAAAGGGGGAAGGGTTTACAGGAACAAATATAAAGGACACATGGACAAAAACTAGGGGTGGTGGAAATGGGAGGGGGGAGAGATGGAAGTGGGGGAGAGATGGGTGGGTGGGCTGGGCTGGGAGTAAAGTACAGAAAACTACTTGAACAATGATAAAAATAAATTTGCTAAACATAGAAAATTTATCCATCAAATGTAAAGAAAAGATTTCAAATTATCCATCATAAGAAGGTCTGTTCAGAAAGTGTTTAGTCATGTATTAAAAAAAAAGAGACATTTATTGAAGAAGATACAAGAAACATTGTACAAAGGATAATGACACCTCAGTCCCCTTCAAAGTCAACACCTTGGGACCTCACACAGTTCTTCCAATCACAATCAGCTGGCCCATCCCATTTTCCTGAATCTCACTGACAGTCTGAAATCTGTTCCGTTTCAAAGGTGATTTTAGGTTTGGGAAAAGCCAAAAGTTGCTGGGCACCAAATTTGGCCTGTAGCAGGGCTGAGTCACTTTAGTGATTCAATTTCTCACCAAAAGCCTCTAAAAGAGATGTTATGCATGAGCAGGCACATTGAGATGAAGCTGCCAATCATGTTGCCCATTACTGCCATTTTCATCATATTGCATCTCTCAACCAATGAAGAACACTCAGATAGTACTTGTTAATTATTTGCCTGGAGGGGCGTACTCGTGATAGACAACACCTTCCCAATCAAAAATAAGTTAACATGGTCTTGATCTTGCTGCAACTTTGCGAGACCTTCTTCAGGTGTGGAAAATCAGGCAACTTCCATCGTAACAACTGGGTCTTCATTTCAGGGTCATAGCTGTAGGCCCACAATGCATCTCCAGTTATGAACTTCTCAAGGAAATTTGGTTCACTGGTAGTGGTTTGAATCAAATCATTAGCAACTGCAGCACCATGTTCTCTCTACTCTGGTAGTGGAAGCCACGGAACATACTTTACCACGACATGCTTCATGCCGAGATCCTCTATCAAAATCTCGAACATAGCATTTTTTGGAATCCCCAGATCAGCTTCTAGTTACCACACTGTCAGTCCCTAACCTTTGTTGATTGCAGCCTAAACACGTTTAACATTCTCATGTGTTCTGCTTGTTGCAGGCCTTCTAGAGCACGAATCACTTTCAACAGATTCTCAACCATCTTTGAAGTGTTTGTGCCACACTTTCATTTGTGCTGCATTCTTTGCATCATCCCGAAAGCCTTCTGAATCATCCAAATAGTTTCTGCAGAGGAATGGCCAAGCTTTACACAAAATTTGATGCAAATTCGTTGCTCTACTTGCTCAGTGATTTTGAATGCCACAGTGACACAGTACACATGATCACTCAATGGCACCTACCACGCCCAATGACTAGTACAGTGAGGTCATCACTGTTCACACATGTGCATTCCAGTCCACTCTCTTTGGCTGCCAGGTTGCATTAATGTTGCACAAACTGCTCTCACTTTATTAACAATGGCTGGACTTTTTCCAGACAGACCTTATACGTAATCCCACCATTCAGATAGAACCACCTTTATTATTTTCATGTATTTCCTTCCAATTTTTGCATGAAAAAGGTAAGAAAATGTCTTAAGGGACAAATACTTTGAATTTTATTTTATTATTTATCATTAGCATTGAATACTTCCCACAATGTTATATATTCTTTGAAGGTAAGATTCAAATGGACAGATACAACCATTTTTCCTACTATAAATAAAACTGCAAGGTGTATTCTTATTTAATAAGAAGTAAAAAAAATTTTGGAGTTTCTAAGGAATACTATCAGACTAAGATTATAATAGAAAAGTGAATAAAAAAACCTCAGCAGATAACTCACCCTTTTTAATAACTGATTTGTGAGGTTCTGTAGTGTGTTCACAGTGTATATCTTCATGAGGTGCAAAGCTTTAGAAAGACATTGCTTAAACTTCAGTAAATATACAGAATAATCTTTAAAATTCGGCTATAAAAGAAAGGGAAAGATTTACAAAGAGGAAACAAACACTGACAAAGCAAACTTTCATTGAAAACCAACATGTCCTTTATGTAAAGTTATATACAAAATAGATTGAAAGTTCCATGAAGACAAATACTGTGACTGTCTTCATCATAGCCAAATCACCTGTGCCTGGGCATAAAGCAAGGGCTCAATAAATATTTGTAGTTTGCCCTGGCTGGTGTGGTCAGTTGGTTGGAGCGTCGTCCTGTAAACCAAAAGACTGCAGGTTTAATTCTCAGTCATGGCACATGCCTGAGTTGTGGGTTCAGCCCCAGTTGGGGTGCATTCAAGAGGAAAACCAATCGATGTTTCTCTCCCTCTTTATCTCCCTCCCTTCCCCTCTCTCTAAAAATCAATAAGCATGTCCTCAAATGAGATATATGTATATATATAGTGCCGTTTTTAGCAAACTATATATTCAGTACTCCACAGACTTCAAGGCTACCACATCAGACTCAACTAGGAAAACAATACAAGTAGGGGATATAAATACAGCTATAAGTCCTTGGGGAATAATATCTAGGACAACAGGAATTCAACAGACTGAAAACTGCTCATCCTTTCAGAAGGGATAAAGCTGTGTCAGTCAGGACCTCATTTGACTCCAGGGGCTGCCTCAGCAGCTGAAAGTAACTTTCACATCACTATCAACAATAACTAAGAATTTGCCAGTTTTTCAAGTATATTAGAAAACATATTTTTCCCTTCAGAAGGAATAATTACTTTACAACCTAAGAAGCAAATTAATAGGGATGTTAAGATTTCTTAAAAACATACAGAAATATCATGACTTACATGAGATGAGATATATGTTATACAATCATCTAACTTGGCCAGCATAGGTATAAATCCTTCACTATTCACAGACAACGTAGGAGAATTCAATTTCTTTAAGGGAAAATAAATATTAATTCATAAAAAAATATATAAGTAAATCTTGATAATTATGTATTTAAATTAGCATATTTCCCTTTAGGACATAACAGTTATACTAATGTCTTCATATTTTGAGTGACCAAAATATCCTCAAATGTAGCCCATGTGTAACAATAAATGACAACTTAAAAAGAATACTGATTGAATTCAGTTTACTGCTAATCAGTTTTAATGGGGCTCTTGATGACATAACAAATATTTTATATTACTCCATTGTATTCCACAGACTTCCCATTTACTAGTACTTTACAACATACATAAATTTTCTCTTTCAAACCCTGGCTATTTCCCTAAGGTTAAAGAATTAACTAGTGTGTCATATGATGTTTAGCAGTCATATTATTAAAGTAAAATAAAGTATAGAAGTAATAATAAGTATAAATATAGGTATTATATAAGTGTGATATTTAACATTTAATATAACATATGCTAAAACTTAAAGTAATATAATATATAATATTTAATGAAATATAAATATAATATACATAAAACCTAAGTAAAAACAGCCAATTATTTCTTATCTTGATATACAAATAGCTTAGCAATGAACTATTCTCCTTTGTATTCCATTGTTAACTAGCTACTAGTTTTACTCCTATCTCTTTAGTAAATTATAATTGTGATTAATTTAGTATTTTAATAACATGATGTATATACAGCTATGATTAATTTATGAACCAGAAATATCATTTACACAGCAGTCTTTATTGATATTACTTTGGAATACAAGTATGCATTATGAACTACACTTTTTCTCAAACTAAGTATGAGATTAGTTTTAAAGATTTTTTTAAATTATTATAGTTTAACCACAGCAAGATTTAAAACTTAATATTTCTTACATGGCTTAAAAATAAGACACTATAAGAGGTAACCAACAAAGAGACTTTTAATAATAATACAATTTAAACATAACTATTACTTAAATCATATTTGAAAACATCTGAACTTGTAATGGTATGTCCATCAGTCACAAATAGGAATAGTCAGCAAGCAAACTGTTAAGTTAAAACATCACTCACAAAGTGAAAAACTAACTTTACAAAAAGTAAGAAAGATGCTTACTGTGTTAATAGTTTCCAATTCATTAAAATAGGATAGCTTTTGTTGAATGTTTTCAGCCAGATCAACAAGTTCCGACTTGCATTTTTTAAAAGAGAAAAATCAGTTATTATAAGAACACAAAAACACTCCAGTCTCAAAATTATACTGAATTGTTATATATTAGACATAAGATTTCAGAGTAAGGTTCAAAGATTTTTGCAATTATGGGCTAAAACAAGCAATGGTTATTATAGTAAATTATATATAATATCATAAAAAAGTAAACGATTGCCTTTTTCAAAACAGAACACACACAGCAAAAACTCTGAAATAAAGAGTAATTTAAATATCCTATATTTAATTATTTAAGCACAACCTGTATCAGTTCCTCTTTTCTTAAACTTCACCATTACTAAAATCACTATGCTTATTTCAAAAGTATCAATGATAAAGAATGAACAGAACTATTATATCCTCTTCACTCTGAAATTGTCTGACACCTGGCAGTTCAGAACACAGGAAAGCTCACCCATGCCCCTCTTCACATAAGCTTATTTAGAATGAAAGCAGGCTGTCAGCATAATATTTCGCATGCTCAGCACAGGGCCTCATATAGAGCAGTGTTTAATATGTAGTCAGAGAAATTAAGGAAACTAGAATTATATTCATCTATTTTAAAATAAAACAATAAATATAATCACTGACCCTCTCTCTCTTACTCCAAATTACCTGTTCTTTTAGGAGTTGTTCACAGGCTTGGTGTAGGGTTCCTGTCTTATTGGACACAAAAAGATACTGTTTCTGCAATGATTCCAGATGCTGAAGAGCACGGTTTACATCATTCAAAATAGCATCACACTGCTCCTGAAACCCAGACAAGTAATCCCTCATCTGTCTAGAAAACAGAACCAAAAGGGGATTGGCAATAATATTTTCCCCCAATAAGCATAGAAAATAAACAAAGTCTCATTTTTTCCCCAAATGCTTGAATTTCAGGAGGAAAGTCAGACCTATTCACTATAGTTCATCACATTCAGATATGTACCAAAAGCTAAGTTTCAAACTATTTCAATAATTAAGGAAAATTACTGAAACTAAGAGAAACAACAAAAGGAATCAGCCTTGAAGTCATAAACTGGCTTCTCACATGGAAGACAACAAATCACCAGTTCAACTTTCAAACAGTGGGAAACCAGGACCATTCCACGTTATCAAGTAGATAAATCCTTCAGGTCACTTTCACCGTGAAGAGATAGTGTGATGTCATGGGAATAATTTTGGACTCGGAATTAGAAAACCTTAAGGTATAAAGGTTTTACCTTTAAATCCCAGCTCTGCCCATCTCCATGGCATTAGGCAAGCTACTTAATAGTTCTAGGCCTCAGTTTGCTCATTTGTAAAATGGGAATATTACCATTCCTCAGAGAGCTACTATAAAGATTAAACAGAATCATACATCAAACAGCCTAACACAACACATAGCAATTATAGTCATTTAATAAATGTTCAATGAATGCAAATGCTCAAGCCATAGTCCCCAAATCAGCCAGAAACTGTAAACCATTATTTCTCCCATGGTATCAATATACACAAACAGAACAACATAGTTACACCCTATATCTAGGTGGCCATCCCTAAAGTCTCTTGGGTCTCACCTAAAGAAAGGCAACAAACACCTCTTAGAGGTCCTATAAAATTTCCACTTGAACCCAAACCTTTCTAGAGTTATGGAAAAACCAATGTCTGCCCCCCTAACTTATTAATTACAATATAACTTTTTTTAATTACACAACTTGTAGTACCAGTTAACCCAAATCTTCTCCCTAGCTATTTTTAAAGAAAATATGGCTGTTGAGGTTTTCTTTATACCTTAATTTTGTTTATTTGGAGACACATATTACAAAATGCTTCAGGTGACTGTGACCTAACAATTAGGATAGCCAACAAATCCAAGAGCCACATACCTATATTTAGTTTCTTCATCCTGATTCATCTGAGTTTGAAGCTTTGCAAACCATGAGAAAAACTGGAAAATAAAGATTATTATGTTGTCAACAAAACGAAAACAGATAAAATGAAAACTTGCTATATGCTAAACGGCAAGTTAAAAGGGTAACACTAATCCTTGTTTGGGGCTCAGACAATAATAATTAGTTTTAAACCAGGAGAAAATTTAATTGCATGGTCAATGTCTACATGCTAGTAAAGTAAAGGATAGGTAGGATTGAGGGGTAAAGTAGGGGTGGGTGGGGTGGGGGAGGGTAGCGGGAGAAAAGTGGAGACACCTGTTCTTGAATACAATATAACTAAAATAAAAATAAAATAAAAAATAAAAATAGGCCACTTTCAGAGTTAATTTAAAAAGTGCATTAAATATATAATATATAAGAAATGTTTCTCCCTGAGAGGCTAGAGCCTATTTGATAGTTTGCCAAATCTGAGTAGGTAACTTAAGGCTTTGAGTAATTATTAATATTATCTAGCACAGGAGTGTCAAACTCATTTTCACTGGGGGCCACATCAGTCTTGTGATTGCCTTCAAAGGGCTGAAATAATTTTAGGACTGTATAAATGTAACTACTCCTTAACTGTTAAGGAGTTGCAATTACATTCAGCCCTTTAAAGGCAACCTCGAGGCTGATGTGGCCCCCGGTGAAAATGAGTTTGACACCACTGATCTAGCAGGAATTGTGAGAATATAAGCTCATAAGTAATATAACAAACTGGTTTAAGAACATGGACTTCTGTATCAGCTAAACTTAATTTGAATTCTGGCCCTATATTATGAAAATATCTATTCTTAAAAAGAGATGGGGCCCTGGCTGGAGTGCCTCAGTTGGTTGGATGTCATCTTGTAAACAGAAAGGTCACAGGTTCAATTCCTAGTCAGGGCACATGCCCAGGTTGTAGATTCAGTCCCCATTCAGGGCATGTACAGGAGGCAACCAATCAATGTTTCTCTCTCACATCGATGTTTCTCTCCCTCTCTTTCTCCTTCCCTTCCCCTTTCTCTGGAATTAATAAAAGAGAAAATAAAGTTTTTTTAATGTTTTTTAAAAAAACACATGGGGTAGGCTGACCTTAAGCATGCAGGCACTTTTTGAACTAATGGAAATGTTTTGTATCTTGATCACAGTGGTAGTTTCACAGGTATATACACTTGTCAAAACTCATCAAACTGTACACCTAAAGTGATTGTATTTTATCATATAGAAATTTAACTCAATATTTAGATTTTTCTAAATTAGAGATTTTCTACTCTCTTTAAAGAGAGATGTGCAAATTTAATCCAAAACATTTATTTAATAGTCCAATAAGTTCACAGATCGGGTACAAGATTGTCTTCTATAATTCTCAAGTGGGATTTAAGTCAAAGTACACTTTATTCTCTCAAGATACTAAGTTTAACAAGTACAGTACCTTAGCTATCATTTGCCAAACAATGATTGTGTGTCTGCCACACAATGCATTTACAGGTATTATCTTATTTAATTAGGCTCACAAAAAGCCTATGACATAGTTATATAATTATCATTGTTTTATTCATAAGAAAACTAGAGACCTGAAAAGATAAAGTAATTTTCCTAAGCTCACAAAGAGGCTAAGTGATAATAGGTGACTTTCTGATCCAGGGCCTAACTCCACAGCTGGAGCTCTTAATCACTCTGCCATGCTTCTTCTCAACTTACTATATATGCAAGTCAGAACATCTGCTCTACATTTTACTCAGTAAATGCCTCAACTTTGATTCTTCACAGTACAGAAAGAAGAGCAGAGGATGTGGCAGAAGAAACTACTGTATATTTAGGTTTATAATCAGTAATAAGCAAAAGCCAAGAAAAGATCACACATGTTCTTCTTCAAAATAGCTACACGTGTTATCTAAAGAGAATATTTAGGTTTTTGAAAAAGAAATTACCTAGCAATAGGCAGAGAAGGATACGTGTATGTGTCTCTGTACATGCACATGAATACACACAGGCACGCTGGCAGGGACATAACATAGACATAGACATACACTGGAGGAAGTCAAAAATATAAAATATTGTAACCTTAATAAATAAAATAATCTATCAGCATCCAAACTTGAAATACCATATTTTTATGTCTATTACAAATATAATTGGGCAATAGGTTCATCTAAAATACTTCATAGCCACAACTGATACAAAATCAAGAATGGTCTAAAAAGATCAGATGTTAGCTACAGGGTGGGGCAAAAGCAGGTTTACATTTGTGAGTACACAGAACAGTTTATTCTTATGTTATTATTTATTAATTACTGTATTACTTCCCATACGAAAAACTATACACCTATTTTTGCCCCACACTGTATAGTTTCAAATGTTCAGGACTTTTAATTAGGACCTTTTTTATTAGCTCAGTCTCGAGACATTTAAAATAATCAAACATCCTAAAAACAATACTGCCACTCACCTGCTGTGCAGTTTCAATTTTTCCTTCTTGCATTCCTAATGAAATGAAGCCATTCAAGAGAATATCTTCTGTAGATTCAGGTACTATTGAAGTCTGTGAAATGGGCAGGGGCTGGGATGTTAAACTGCACAAGTCTTCAATTGGGAGCTTGAAAAAAGACAGCCACAAAGAGTTAATAACTTTTCAAGTTATTATGTAAATAACTTGAAAACTCTCTTAACTCAAGATTGAAATTACATCTCAGCTGTTTTGAAAGAGAAATAAATGTTTTCTATTAAAGAGTTTGAATAAACACAATATTAACATTTATAACTAGACCGTCTCTATATTAAAATGCTAGTCCTGAAATGTAAACATGACACTGATATCCCAGTATTAGTTACATATGGCTTTTGAGTTACCTTTCTATCACTGGTGGTGAATCTGTGCTAATCTATACACATTTTCTTAATTGAACCTCCTGCGAACTAGCACCCAGACAAAGGAAAAAACCTGTGTGTTGTTGAAAGTAGCTTGCCCTCCCCATTATATAACACAAAAGCCTGACCTTATTAATACCAACAAACAGAAAACAAATCAAACCAAGAAGTACCAGTAAAGATTAATTCCTTCTACCACTTCCACTGCTAGCACACTTCACCCACACCTTCTTACTGACAAATTTTGAAATCAGAATTAAACAAAGAATTTCAGAGTTTCCCATCAGTTTCAGAAGAGCCCCACCTACAAGACCTCGACTTTGATGCCATCAGATCTACAATACTTTCTAGTTCTCCACTGCTCCTAAAGATATTCCAGGGGTTAACTTAACCAGTAGTCAAACAGACAAGCTATTTTTAGACTTAAAAGAAAGAGAGTGTGGATGCTGGGAGGTTGTAAAAGAGCCTAATTGTTTTGGTTCAATTCATTTTCAGCGCTGAGGGCACGACATTTATTTAAGTTCCAGCAATATTAAAATATTGATCCAAGGCCTTTTATGATCAGGTCTTAGGAAACTGCCTTCCTGTCTATTTTTCTAGATACAGAAATTTCATTGGAAGACAATATTTTCTCTTTAAAGCAAAAATAAGCTAAATGCAAAATACACCATCACTAATTTAGAAATATAACTCTTTAGATTGATTTTTTTAAGTAATAGCACATAATTCCTGTCTTCCATAAACTTACCAAAACTGCAGGGTCACTGAAACTATCTTTGTTTTTGGTGTGTAACACATTTATTACTGTCATATCAAATGGATCCAGGGGTGTCATACACATGTGCTTAGTCTGTCATTTGAAACAAAAAAATCTTACCTTCTAATGTACTTTAAAAGTAAGATCAATGCCCTGGCTGGCGTAGCTCAGTGGATTGAGCGCGGGCTGGGAACCAAAGTGTCCCAGGTTCGATTCCCAGCCAGGGTACATTCCTGGGTTGCAGGCCATAACCCCCAGCACCCGCACATTGATCTCTCTCTCTCTCTCTCTCTCTCTCTCTCTCTCTCTCTCTCTCTCTCTCTCCCTTCCCTCCCTAAAAATAAATAAATAAAATCTAAAAAAAAAAAAAAAAATAAGATCATATGAAAACTCTGGATACCTGAGAAGGTACTACAAATACTCAAGATATAATCTGTAATCTAGCTGCTGTGAGTAAATATAATACTTTCTATGTATGAAAAAGCATTCTATTTGCACAAATACTAACCACTTTTCAGTCAGAAGGACTTCCAAATACCAGAAGCAGGAGGAGGCTTCCTGTCCTGTTCCCTTGTTCTAACACAAAACATTTTCTCTCAAACCCCGCAAGAGAGAAGCCACACTGCAGCCACTTCTAAGAAATAAAAGCATATGAGAAAATCTCCCATTTAGGCACCTTTACTAAGCTGTCTTCTTCTCTCAAAGCACCTGGAATAGAATGGCAAATCAGAACTGAGGGGTAAAGGGGGGAGGGGGTGGGGTGTCACAAACTTTCCTGTTCAGACCTCTCATTCGCTCCTGAAGTGGAAAGGACTGAATGCATCTGACTCAGTGTCCTGGCTTCCAGATGGAGTAGACAGACATTTACCACCATCGAGAGAAAAGCACAGATCTAGGCTTCCGATCAGCAATCCTAGAATGCTACTATATAGTTTATGCAAATAGGGACACTAACATATAAAATAGTAATTACAATAATCTATCAAGCCTTGCCTGACCAGCTGAGCAGGTACAGAAAAAACAAGCCAATACACATTTTTCTCTCCCAAACTTTATTTCTTGAACAGTTCTGGGTTGGAGAAAATCACTTCTATAAACAATCTAATCAATTTATTCCCTAAATGAAACCTGATGTTACTTTTTCTGTAGCAAAGCATGAAGAGATATAGATTGAGTCTTAGAACCTTCCTCAAGGAACCTAACCTCTTCTTCTTACCTTTGATGTTTAACATCTCCCCATAAGATAAGAACTATTATGATTCTCATTTTATAAAGAATAAAACAGGTTCAGAAAAGTTAAACATCATGTGTAAGGTCACACAGCCTTTAGAAAAACAACTGTAACAGAGCAAATTATTTTAGCATTTTATCAAGAATTACTAAGTCCACCTGGCTGGTGTAGCTCAGTGAATTGAGCACGGGCCTGTGAACCAAAGGGTCGCTGGTTCGATTCACAGTCAAGGCACATGCCTAGGCTGGGGGCCGGGTCCCCAGTTGGGAGCGCATGAGGGTCAACCATGCATTGATGTTTCTCTCTCTCTCTTTCTCCCTCCCTTTCCCTCTCTCTAAAAAACTTAATAAATAAAATATTTAAAAAGAAAAAAAAAAGAATTACTAAGTCCAGCAGAAAGAAAATGTCTGGCCTTCACCACTAAAAAAGTTCCCTGACTACAAGAAACCAGTCTACCTAATATTCTACTGTAAATATTCTATTGCAAATTCCCTTATCAAACACCAAATAAAAACATATAACTCCTTTCCAAGATAACACTAGTTCTCTTTCATAAAAGAGAAAGCTATTTTCTAAAAAAGTTAAAGGCTTTATGATATTTGCTAAGCATTAACTGGACTCTTGCTATACAACTAACTTGCCCAGTTTCAGCTGTCTGGGATATAATTTACTTGTGAAAATTGTGAAACACTGCAGAAAATCTTTTAGAGATATACCACTTGGACAAAATAAAAATTGAGGCGTTCTTTTCAGCACCACTGTTACAAGTCTGGTAACGGGAAAAAAGAGAGAGAAAATTCAATTTCAAAGTCTTCCCACCAGATATATAAACGCTTTAGTAAAGAAAAATGAAGGCTACAGAGAGCTGAAGAGCAATGAGAACTTTCCCCTGAAAGAGTCCAGGTTGGGTAAACAGCAGGTTATTTCATTCTCACAGAAATCTATTACCAAGTCTGCATGTACCAGAGACCTTCAGTGCATGCTTGAACTTGTCAAGCTCATCCCCTACCCATGACTGCACTGCTTTTTCCTCCAGCTTAAATGTTTTCTCTCTAGTTTTTGCATGGCTGTCTTCTTGTTTTCTATCATGAGTTCTCACCTCAGACTATTACTTTCTTGGAAAAGCCTTCCCAAATTATCCAAGGGCACACCTCATCCCTTTGTGTCATACCATGCGGGGTTTTGGGTTTTTTTCCTTATACAATAGATCACCACCTGAACTTACCTTCCTTCTTTTTTTTACATGTTCATGGTCATCATAATTATATCAGCTCCATGAAGCTAAGGATCTTGACTTACTTATCTTTCTATCCTCAATTCCTAGTTCAGAGTAGGCACATAAATATGTTCAATGACTGCACGAGGCTAATGATAGGTATTGTATAAATGTGAAAGAATAGGGTAAAAATGAAGATTCTATTTACTGCACTCCAAACCTTTTCCTTTAAGTTCACTGAGAATAAGAAATAATAGTTTATCACCCATGACAATAAAACAAATTGGGTTATATTTCTTGTGAAATATCTCTGCCCCCCTCACCTCCCACTGTGATGTCCAGGCATCCTGCTTCAGTATCAGGCCAAATAAATTACAAACAGATTGGAATATTTATAGAGCAAACAACTTCTGTTATCCAGAGCACAAAAGACTTTAATAGCCAAGACAAAGAAACTTCCACTTACTTCCTCATTTATTCCAAACCCACTTCCAGCAGAGCATGCTAGAGTTAAAACCCAAGAAAGAACACCTCTATTTTATGGCAAAGCAAGAAACAGTAGAAGTGAAGGAACTTTCAAATCAAAGTTCTTAACCTCCAAAGTTTGAGGGCAGGAAAAAAAAGTTTAAGTCTCTAGATTTAATCTGCCTTTGGACACAATTCCAAATCATGTAAAAAGAATTCTTGAATCCTTACTTGCCACAAACAGCCTGCCTCACCACTCACATGCCCTGCTCTGCTGATGTGCTACAGAAATGCTTCATTTACATGAAGTCTTTTGCCAGATTAGGGCACTGGCTTGTCACCACACTCTGCCTTATGCCAAAGATATAAAACTGGGTACAGATGCTCATGCCTTAATGTTTCAAGGTGTAAACCTTTTAGCTGATGCTGTAGCCATTACTATGGAGCCACAGGGAAAAAAGAGTGATTTTATTTTTAATCCTAACTCAAGGACACTTTTTCACTGCTTTTTAGAAAGAGGAAAGAGAAACATCAATGCCAGAGAGAAGCACCAACCAGGTGTTTCCTGTACACTCCTGGACCTGGGATTTACACTCCCAGTCTGGGTATCAAACCCACAACCTAGGTGTGCGCCCTAACCAGGAATCGAACCTACCACCTTTCAGTTACAGTTACGAGATGACACTCCGACCACCTAAGCCACACTGGCCAGGACAAGAACAGTGATTAGTGAAGAGTTAGGGAAGCCCCAAAGTAACAAAAGATGGTGTGACTGTTGCGAAGTCCACTAATTTAAAAGATAAATTAAAAAATATTAGCACTAAACTGGTTCAAGATGTTGCCAACAATACAAATAAAGAGGCTGGGGATGGCACCACTGCTGCTCCTATACTGGCACACTCTGTCAAGGAAGGCTCTGAAAAGATTAGCAAAGGTGCTAATCCAGTGAAAATTGAGAGGGGAGCAATGTTAGCTGTTGATGCTGTAATTGCTGAATCTAAGAAGCTGCCTGAACTTGTGACAACCCCTGAAGAAACTGCTCAGGTTGCTATGATTTCTACAGATGGAGACAAAGAAATTAGCAACATCATTTCTGGTGCAATGGAAAATGCTGGAAGAAAGGGCATCATCACAATAAAGAATGGAAAAATACTAAAAGATAATTACTGTATTTTGCCATATATAATGCACTCCCATGTATAATGGGTACCCATGTATACCCATGTTTTAGCGCTGCCCATGTATAATGTGCATCCTTATTTTTGCCTCAAAAATCTGGGCAAAAAAGTAAGCATTATACACAGCAAAATACGGTAGAAATTATTGAAGGCATGAAGTTTGATCAAGGTTACATTTCTCCATATTTTATTAAAACAGCAGAAGGCCAGAAATGTGAATTCCAAGATGCCTATGTTCTACTGAATAAAAATAAAATTGCCAGCGTTCAGTCCATTGTACTTGCTCTTGAAATTGCCGATGCTCACCATAAGCCCTTGGTAGGGATGTGGCATGTTCTAATCCTAGAAGACTGCTCATCATTTTTAATGATAACTGTGAGAGGATGCTCAATGTAGTGCTCCTCACCTATAACTTCAGAGAAGTCACTTGAAGGAAATGAGTGAAGAAAAGGCTGGCTGATATGTAAGAAAAACACTATAACCATCAGTCACTGGTTTCCATTGACAACATATAATAGTTCACTGCTGTCATTGTCTATGCCTACACATATTTTTTGTGTATTTTTAAATAAAGATTTTTGTACATTCCTGATAACTAAGTGCAAGAACCATGTACCAATGTAGTGCTTTCAACTTAAATCATGAGGCAGTTTTACCACTATCCTGTTAAAATCAGGATTTTAGTGCTTGCCATCACCCAATAAAAATTAACAAGCAGCTTTCTGAGGACAGCAAGAATAACTGTACAGAGTAGAGAAATATTCAATTATGTGACAACCTTTATGTTACAACAATTTGTTTAAAGTTTAAAAAAAATGCTTCCAACATAAAAAATAACTACCATCCCCAATAAAATAGTCCTACTAAACCTGGTCTCACAACTAGAAAAAGGTTGTCAAACATCTGACAATTCATAAAATGTATTTCTTGCTATTATAACTAGTTAAATACAATCACACAAGTAGTAATATGAATAATGTCCCAATGATAATTAGGATTAAAACCGCTGACACTAAAACCAAAAACCAGCCTTATCCAATAATGTATTGACCCAGCTTTCAAAAACAATTCATTTTCATTGCTTTGCAATCGGTCAAATAAGTCGATCTCCCACAACCTGCATTTGATAAGAGAGCTCACTGTTCAACGTGAGATGAAACTGTCACTCGGGATCAAGTTTTGATTTCCCCCTGTGGGAAAAGTATGCTGGGTTATTCATTAAAGTGATAAACGAATACCAATAGGAGGCTGCCTATTGGTATTCCCTAATAGGATAACAGCAGTACTGTGCCTCAGCTGACATCAGCAACACCCGGAGCAGTAAGCCCAGGGTAAAACTCCAGGGACAACGGTCCCAAGCCGCAAAGTAGACACCAGCCCAGCCACTGGACACCCTAGCAGTCGTCCCCGCGCGGGAAGGGAGAGTCAGCAGTCGCCGGCAGAGGCCTGACAGCCAGAGAAGATGAAGTGATGGGGCCTCTCCTACCCTAACAGCCACTGCATGAAGGACAGGTGAAGAGAATCCCTAAACAGGAGTCTATGAGGCCAAGGTTCGCTCGCACGCCACAGGTGAACGCCCCAGTCACTTCCCGAGCATCACCTCACCTCGGGCGGCACCGGAAGGTTCTCCGCCGCCGCCTTCAGTTCCAGCACAGAGTCCACCTGCCTGTCGGTGAGCGGCGCCGTGGTGTCCGGCCTCCGATCCCAGAGAGCTAGCCTCTCCCAAGAGTCCCGCTCCGTCGCTGCCTCGGGCAGCAGCAGCAGCGCCGCCTCCGCCATAGTCGCCACCCTCGCCCCCCTAAACAGCAAAGGGATGGCGCGACCCCGAAAGACAGGCCCGGGCCACTTCCCGGAGTGCCAAGGGTTCCAGCAAAGCACCGGCATCAGCAGCGGGGCTGGACGAGCGGAGACGGAATAGCCGGAAACGGAAACGCGTTCACAGCGAGTGGGCGGGGCTGAAGTCAGGACTGACGTGGCGTTAAAAGGGTACAAATACTTCCCGTTGAGACGTACACGTATAGGGAGGCTACACAGGCCCTGACGGAAATAGAAATGCCCCTGCCGGAAGTCTCTTCCCCAACATGGATAACTTTATCATTACGTGCTGTTTACGAAGATTGTACTAACAGACACGGCCGGCAGGGGTTTTCTTGAGTTTACGGATTTAGAGCCTAGGATTTACAGCTGGCTAGTCTGGGTCGAGTGTATTACTATGTGATTGCCTTACTGACCTGTTGACTGTTTAGGCTGCCTGGATCAAAACCACGAATACAAACTTTTCCAACGTCTAATAACTCCACCGTTAGAAAATTAACATAAAAACACAGAAATTCAAAGATTTTGTGTGCATCAGATATCATTAATAGTACTGTCAAGTAATCGGAAACAACCTAAATATCCAATATTGAAGATTTCAATCAGTAATTCATGGCACAGGCATGTAATTGGAATACTATTCCGCCATTTAAATCATGTTGTAGATTTGAGCAACAAAAATATGATACTATTGGATCATAACATAAATACCCGCGAATCCATACTAACATAAATAAATGATTGAATTAGTAAATGGGAGAGGAGGGACAGCTCTATCTTACAAAAGAATTCCAAAAAAAATGTGAAATGAGAGAAATAGTATTAATTGTAGCAGGGAAACTCTAAGGATGAATGCTAAAATCAGTGGGTGAAAGTCCGAGAACAGAAATTAGTGTTTTATCAAATGATCTCCCCAAGATATCTATTAATAGCAAGGGAGCCTACTAACTTTAGGTTGGAAGCACCTGGCAGACATCACCTTAACCAAGTGATCAAGTCAATATTATCATCATAAAACTCCTAACATGATAGATCTAGGGCACAATGTCATTTCTGTGGTATTCTTGCCAAAAATGCAAAAACCACATTCTAAACATTAGAAAACATCAAGCAAACTCAAATTGAGGGATGTCCTGCAAAACAGCTTACCAGTATTCTTCAAGTGTCAAGGTCATGAAACATAAGGATAGCGAGGAACTGTTGTATATTGGAGATGAGGGAGACATGACAACTAGATGCAGTTGGAACCTGGATTGGATCCTGGGATAGAAAAATGTAAAACCATGGAGTAAAATACAGATATTCCAACAAAGTCTGTAGTTTAGGTAATAGTATTATTCCAATGTTGATTTCCCAGTTTTCATTATTATACATAGTTATAGAAGATAATAACATGAGGCACACCTGAACTCGATACTACTTTTACAACTTTCCTAAATTTGAAAATTATCTCAAAGTCAAGAATGTTGTAGAAAATATTTATCTCTTTGGAAAAATGGTTGTGATATAATTAAGAAGAATGATATAGTATACGAGCCTATTGCCCAAGAGAAACAATCCCAAAACATTTACAGATGGTTGGGATTACTAATAGGTAATTTTCTTCTCTTCCTCTTCATCTTCCTCTTCCTTCTTCTCCTTCTTATTTTACAATGAATTCTGCATTTAAGAGTAAGGTTTTTGTTTTAATTATTTAACCCAGCTTCAGAGCACTGTTTGCCCCATCACATCAATTCACCAGTATTTCCTAAAGAAAGTCATCTTGTAGATATGTACGAATGTGTAGATCTAAGTACCTAAAAGATACTTGCTCTTCTCCAGACCAATTTCTAGTTTCAAAAATCCCAGAAATGAAGTTAATCCTGTTGAGTTTTGACGCATGATCACCAGCCGGCAGTGATCATGCAACACTGCGGACGGCTCGTCGAAACACAAGAAATTAATATACACAGAAACAGGCAATTTTTCTGTGGAGAAGTAGGGACTGAGTGGCCACTCTCCCAAGTGGAAAAGCACCCCGCCCCCCTGCACAAGCAGGGTTTTATTCTTGAATACCAATACCATTTGCAAATTACAAGTAGTTAGCTTTTGAAAGGTGCTGGCAGATTTCCTACTGGGATCCTAAGCCAGAGATTTGGGGGTTTTATCATTTAAAAAGACTACAGGACTTAAAGCTTAGTTCTGTTTCCTGCCCGTGACTTCATATTCTAATTGAAGAGCATCCTCCAGCAAGCAGATTTCACAGGGTCTTTCATATTCTATATCTTAGGCCTGATTACCCCAGGAGTCCGCCATTTCTGGTGTGGACTGTACTGCCCCTGTTACTTCCAACGGGCCTGAGTTGGGCAGAGGAGACAAAGGCAGCCAGGAGACTTGGATTTCTCAAGGACTCAGGCATTGGCAAAGCCAAGGGGGCAGGGGTTGATGTCGATCACCCCGTTATTTCCACAGCCCCGTGAGTCTCATTCCTGTCATTCCTTCGTGAATGTGTCTGTCTTAGATTCATTCTCTATCCAAGAGAATTGTTACCCGTCATTGACTGCTGTTCAAGCATGAAAAGGAACGGGGCATATGAACAGGCAGAGTTCGTGCCAGGGAAATAAGTTTTGTCTCTTTAGCGTCTCCTGGTTCAGAGGCCTCTTACTCAGCCATAGTTATAGACAGTTACAGATTCCTGAGACCAGGCAGGGCAGTCCCCAACAGAGTTTTGTGATGGCAATTCTCCAGCAAACATCTTCTTTCAAGGGCCAAGTATAAACTGTCCCTCCCAAATGCATTTTTTTTGAGAACCAGAGGAATCTAATCACCTCCAAAGGTGCTTTTGACCCTAGCACCTCAGAACAGGCTTGAGATGACCCTAAGACACATACAGCAATCACAGACTTGGGATTTTTTTCAAGACTGTCAGGAAATCATCTCTGTCACTTTGAAATACTCTAATGTTGCTGAATTCACTTTTAAAAACAGAAACCAAAAACTCTCTGTCCACACTTGGGAGAAGAGGGTTCTGGCAAGCCTCCCACTGCCCTCGGACTCCACACTGTGGGTTGTGTGCAGTTCTGCTGCGAGTTCGTGAGTTCCCTGAGGCCCGGCCCTAAGGTTGTGCCGTCCTTCCCAGCTGGGGTTTTACCTCCAGAGGCTTCCAGCCTGACAGCCATCGTTTCAGACCTTGTTCTGACATCCACAGGGGCCAGTGCTTCCACTGCAGACTATCTCAGATTCCCAACAGTGCTGCCCATCCATTTTCGTATAGGACTGAAGAACCATTGTATTTTTATCAAGTTCTGTAATGGCCTGGCTGATATGTTGACTGGAATTGCATTCAGGCCGTAAACTAAGTTGGGAAGTAATGTCATCTTTTCTGCATTTCCCCTTAAGCCAGAAGTATGATCTCTCTCTTCATTTATTTGAGTTTCTATTTCTCCCATTAAGAATTTGGGTTTTTTGTTATGTGATTCTAATACACCGTATGCAGGGTTGATGTGTGACTATGTATCGTATTTCCTGAGTGTTTGATACTTCTGTTGATGTTGTGAACCAGCTGTTTTCATTATATTTTCAGGCTATTTCTTATGTGTTTATAGGAATGGTACTGATTTTTGTGCATTCTTCTCATATTCTGCTACTTTTAGAACTAGTTGGTTTATGAGGAGACCAGAGGCCTACTCGGCAGGAGCCTGCTGGAGGATTTCCTAGATGGGCTCCCTGCCCCAGGGAGAGAGCCAGCCTGGGTGGGCGGGGCTGAAGGCCCAGCAGCAGTGAGGTGAAAAGAATAAAGCGGTTTTTCCCTTAGGCTGCATTTATTCTGGGAAGGGTCAAAGCTTCTTACCTTTTAGTATTTCCATGTCATTTATTTTTGAATGACAATAGTAATCTGGGTTTTTAAGATTTTACAGGGTTATATAAAGAGTTTTAAAAAGTTTGTTCTAATTTGGTTGTTAAAAAGACTTGACTTAGCACCTCAGAAGAACAAACCAGTTCCAGCCCCAGGCTGCATCTGAGGTTTCTTTTGAAGTTGTAGCACCCTGAGCTCAAAATCCAGAATTGCCAGCTGGTGCCGCTGGGACTCGGTGGTTGTACGACGTCTGGTAATTCAGGACTTCGGTTCTGTATTTTATAATAACCTTTGGTTCATCCTTTTGCATTCTAGTTAGTCGAGTCACTTAGTTTTTACTTCTCCTTCCCTCTTTTCCCAGTGTCTGCACCTTTCCCTAGGCCTCGCCCTGTGCGCTGCGGGCGTGTGCTGGGGGAGACTCTCCACTCTTCAGGGTTCACACACGGGAGGGGTGAGTGGGGTGGGGAGGGGGAGGGGGAGGGGGAGGGGGAGGGCTACCTCCCTGGGTTCTTTTTTAAAAGGGATTTCTTTTAACACCTCCTGAGGGCGTGTAGGTGGGTTTTTCAGAACAGCAACAACAAGATGGTGTCCTGGTGTTACAGAACACAACAAGGGGGGCCTGGGACTACATACTATTATTGAAAGAAGGCCCCGGGTCCATTATGTCCGCTGCCCTAGGAAAGACGTCTCTCAATGCCAGAGATTCGTGAAAAAGAAAGGAAATGATTATTTAATGCTATACTAACTTAAAGTAGTGACCTAATGTCTTTATCAAAAATCCCAAAGTCCCCAAAAACACCCACAAACACACAGTCCTTCCTTCCTTCCCCCTTTGCCCAGTCCAGAGTACCGTATCTCAGGAAAGGAAATAGAAGTCCATGGCTCAGGCAGTCCTCTGGTTCTTAGTCCTCCATCTCGACTGGGAGACCTCCCTGGGTTCCCGGCACCCTCCACTGAGTCGCCAGGATCTCTGCTAAAACCAGGTGGTGGTTCCCCTTCTAAAGCTGTGGGGGTCCCCACTCTGGCACAGGCACGTGGTCCTCTCTCCCAGGGCCACGGGAGTCGCCACTCTGTAAAGGCCGCGTGGTTCTCCTCCTCTGGGATGCAGGAGCCTCCACTCTGCCAAAGCCACGTGGTTCCCCCTCCTCAGGGCTGCGGGAAGGGAGAGTCCCCACTCTGTCCAAAGCCGCGTGGTTCCCCCTCTCAGGGATGCAGGAGTCTTCACTCTGCTAAAGCTGTGTGGCTCTCTCTCCAATGGTCATGATCCTCTCTGCACCTCCACAGCCACATGGTTCTCTCCTTCTCTCAGGGCTGCACATGGTTCACCTCCTCAGGGCTGCGCATGGCTCTCCTTCCTAAAGCAGCATGGTTCTCCCTCAATGGTTGAGGTCCTCCCCATTCAGCTAAAGCCGCAGGGTTCTCTCCTCAATGGCCTCACGTCTGGGTTTTAAATCCCCGCGGCCAATCTTCCTCCGCAGCCTCATTTCCGACTCCTGCCACACTCGGCTTCACGTGCCAGAACTTGTATCCTTCCGGCTTTACTGGGCTGCCATCATGAGTCTGGGCAGGTGTGGCCCCATGTCCTGGAGTGAATCATCTCCAAGCTCCCACGCAGGCGA